TCCATAGTATAAGTGTTTAGTGGTTTTATAAATTATAAAATATGGTGCTCACTTGACATTATTTCAAAACCTTAAGTGTTGTGCATTATTTTGTGCACACGCTCGGTCGCACCAACATTCACAATGTCAAATCTTCAGTGTGCGATTCGTTACACGCTATGACAATTTCATTTCAATATTAAAATGTAATCTCATCCAAACTATCCCAATTTCAAATATGTTAAACAGCATGGTATGGTCACTACACAAACCAACTCAAAAACTAATTTGGATCATTGATACAACAAAATAGAGTTTAATTGAAACATGTTAATTAAATCTCTAAATTTTCTAAATCAACCCCAAATGGCCCCAAATGGATATATACAAATGAGTAAGCCCAAGTCATTACCATTATCAAGTTAAAACTCAATCAAACTAGTGGTACCATTAATTAAATTTTTAATCAATTCATTTAATTCAAAATCTCTAGATTTCTAAACTTATCCAAATGCTTTCAATTTAACATTGGTTAGAGAATATGCTAAGGCCTATTTTAATCTCACATTACAAGTTGTTTTCATGCTTGTTTCAATTATGTGAATTAAACTTTCATAAAGATAAAAATTAAATAAGTTTTACAATTCTTATTCAAATACTCCGAATTTAATATATGTTACTCAACATACCAATGCCTAATTTACTAGCATGCCACAATTTAATTCCAAGGTGTTTACCATCATGAGAATTAAATCTTAAATAAAAAAATAATTAAATGAAAGGTTTCAAAACTTAATCAAATACTCTAAATTTAATATATATGAAATTACATGGCATGCACATCAAGGATATCAAGTCGAAATTTCAAGAAAGTGAATAGTGTACTTGGAGCAAATTAATTAATCAAATTAATTAATTATTACTAAATTTCAAAACATCACCGATTACTTTCAATTTCACATATGTTGAAGAGTGCATTAAAACCTAACATAATATGCTAACACATATTGATTTCAAATTAGATAAGGCCACATGAATTAATCTTTCACTTAAGATAAATATTAAATAAAAACTTCATTACTTGTCCAAAAGTTCTCAATTTAATATATGTTAATGACCATGTCAAAGGGTAATATTCTATTATGCCACATGTTTAAACCAAGTTATGAGCAACCGGAAAAATCAAATTTCATACAAGAAAATAATTAAATAAAATCTCTAGATTTGATATCAAAGTAAGTAAACAAGTTGGACAAGTATCACAAGCATGCAATATAACAAGAAAATAAATTATAACACCTCCTACCTCAATTTGAGATGAAAATCTCAAAGGCCCACCGAAAGAAAAGTGTTCCGAATCCGACGATACCGAAGGGTTTTGTCGGGGACAACACGATGAACAAGAATCCCCAAGAAGCCCCATGAAAATCACAACTTGAACTCAAACCCGAACTCGAATAATGATCAGAAACGGGTTCTAATAAGGGTGAAAGGTGCACGGCGTTAAGACAAGCATTAAACGCGAAGGCACTATGACTTTATAACAAAGGGAATGAGGTTTAAATGAGAGGAGAAGGGTGGCAGCTACTGGTCGTGCATAAGGAGAGAAGGAGATCACTTCTTGACTTTAAGTTCCCCTATTTATAGAAAATCTCAAAAAGTGCCCCGAAAAGGTCCCGCCGGGTCCGAAAAAGTAGATTTTGAGCAGACGCGCTCAAACGGCAAAACTTTATGAACGAAAAAGATTCAAAATGAGAAAATATGAATAACAGAAGAAACGACGTCGAAAACCGAGTTTTGAGTAGAGAGATATGCCCCGAACAAGTTCGGCGGCAACTAGGGCCAGAAACTCTAAAACTGGAGAAAAACGACCAGAAAGAAATCCTAAGAGTACACGACTCGACGAAATGTAAAAATGAATCCCGTACGAGGATTCAGGCTCCAGACGAAGTATTTTTGTAATAACTTTTGTTAATTGCACGATGACCCCTCCAAAAGGGGTTAACTGCACTAATGATCCAAAATGAAAATATCTTCCAAAAATATTTTCTTAGAAACCACTGAAATAAAATATTTTCAAAAGATATTTATAAAAAAACACCCCAAGAAAAGAAAAAGATTCTGAAGAACTGTGCATCCATGCCCTTACAGACATCGGAAGCAACCAGAGTACTTTCTTGCAAAAGTAAAGATACGTATTTCGTGGAAACCACTTAGAATGAAAGTACATCAAGTCAAAAACTAATTCTGAGCATGAAAAGTGAGGTTGTGCCAAAAACTGACAAACGGGGAAAAGACAGAATAGGGAAAATGACGAAATAGGAAAAAGTATAAAAAGTGAATAGTGTCCGAAAAGTGAAAATGTGGAAATGACTCGGTTTTCAAAGGAAGTTGTCAATCCGTATGAAAGAGTCTCGGAAACCATTTCCAAGCGCTCGAGATGACACTAAGCGACCAGAAACAGAGCTCAGAAAGAAAAATTAAACGGAAAAAATTTATCTGTAAAATTTTAGGAAAAAGAAAAGGAAGGAAAATGACCGGGTCATTACAAGGAAAATGTTGTGATGCATCACTTTACAAATACGTTGGGATATATATTACGAAAATGTTGGGAAATTGTTATCCTGCAGTTGGAAAATTGCTGTGATGTAGCAAATAAGGAAATAATGCTGTTTGAAAATAAAATTAAGGAAATTCTCTTATTTCCATAAGAATGGCAGAAACAAAGAAATCGTATCTCTTGCTTCGATTTGGAGAAGTCTGATCTGACGTATCTCTTGCTTCGATTTAGAGAAGTGACATTCCATTTGAAAATAGAATCGCTTATTCTATTTCGAAATAAAATCGACTTCTTGCTTCTATTTGGAAAGAAATCCAAATCTATTCGGAAAGAAATCAAATTCTAAACTAGGTTGATTGATATTTTGGGAAAGAAGAAAGGTAGCTGGATGGCGGGATTTCAATCAAAATCTATTTTGCAAGAAATAAAGTTCTAAACTGGGTTGATTGATATTTTGGGAGAGAAGAAGGGCTGGGTGGCGAGATTTCAAATTTATTTCAAATAGGTTGAACAGTGTATACACACACACACACACACACACACACACACACACACACACACACACACACATATATATATATACAAAAATTCTATATAAAGTAAATATAATTTTTTACCCACTATGATAAGTACTATTCATTCACAAAAATGGAGAAATATTTGCACTATGCAACTGGAGGTGTTTTTTTTACCCCTAATGGTTCGTTTGGTTGGACGGATGAAAAAATAGATATAAGGATAGAGGAAGGGATGGATGAGGCATCCCTATGGAATGGAAGGTGTCTCTCTCACTTTTTGTTTGGTTGAATAGAATGGATAGTAGAAATGATGAATGGGGTGACACATTTTTTTTATTTGGTTGGAAGGAAGGGAAATATGGTTTTTATATTCTTTTTACTAATATGCCCTTAGTATTTAAAAATTAAAAAATTCTTTATCTATTTCAAATTTTTAAAAAGGTTAGAAATGAAAAATCGATATTTGTGCATGGAAATTCATAGAAATGGAGGCTTTTCTAGTTTATTTTCATTAACAACAAAACACATAAATTTCAACGTCTTAATTATTGCAATAAAAATACAAATACATGCGAATTGATTACGGTCTGCAGATAAATTACCTTGCCTCTGGTTTTAGATTTGAGACCAGGGACCTCTTCCTCCCAATTTTGGGCGGATAGAGAAATACAAAGGAGGGAGGGATGAAGCATCCCTCATTGCTTCCTCCCACTTTTCCCTTCTCTCCAACCAAACACGAAAAAATTAATTTATCCCCCCTCTCTTCCATCCCTCCTCAATTCTTCCCTCCAACCAAACATAGCATAAGACTCACTCTCTCTCACGCATAAAAAGGTCTCGAAGCATAGGTTCCAAGAACATCTCTCTCAGCAGTAGCCCCCAACACACACACACTCTCTCTCTCTCTCTCTCTCTCTCTCTCTAAGAACATCATCTTGACGACGACAGTATGTTGAGGGTTCAATTAAGGTACGTTAATTTATTTTTATTTTCAATTTCACTATTAGAAGAGAAATGATCTGTCTTCTTTCTTGAAATCATGATGGAATTGTTGATTAAGTAGACTATTGAGCGCAAAGACGACGTTACATCTTCTTCTTGAAATCATGATGGTATCTGTGGCGCCCAAATTATCAAAAGGGTTCCTCACGAATACAGCTCTCCAATGTGCACAGAGTATAATATACTCTTCTGTGTATTGCTGTTATTTATTTATTGATATAAAAAAAGCGTTAATTTTCTCATATGACAAACAATGCATATGTGAGAGTATTTCTTAATTTCATTTATGCATATGTTATTTTTTGATTTCTAAAAGCGTGCTCAATTCAATAATTCGAATCTAAATAAGGTAGGTCAAGGGATTAATCACTTAACAATTATATGAATGTAGATAGGGTAGGTGTTTGGGGTAAGTGATTAATATTTTTCCCGAGAAAGTGGGAGTGCAAGAAAATTTACACTTGGATATATCTAAATAAGGTAGGTCAGGTCTTGTACTATTTGACTCCGATGGTCGGATCTATCATTAAAAGCCCATGGCAGGTTGAAGAACCACCTAATGACCCATACTGAGAATACCTCTCTGCAGAAGATGAGAAGGTAGAGAGTAAGAATGGCGTTTGGTGTAGGAAGAGAGAGTCAAGGTTTTGCAGAAATGTAGGGCTTCTGATGAGTGCAAAAGATGAAAGGTTAGTGGAGTATTTTTATATCAGAAATGAATTAAATAATAAGAGACAATATTGGCCATTCATAGCATTTTTTACAGTGTTGGGTGAAAAAGGCTGTCTCTACAAAAGATTGGTATCTCTACCTTTTATCTTATGAACCAAACGGCCAATCTACAAGTTGCCAGGGCATCTCATAAATTTTCGAAAGGAAAAAAATCTCAATTATTAGCCAGTTTATTTATTTATTATTATTTATTTATTTTTGTTTGTCATTCCTTGATTGGTTTGATAGGATATTGATTATTGAAAATTTCTATTCTGATTTCTGACTGTTTAGACAAAGTGGTTTATTTCAATTTTTTTGGAGTTGCACGTAATACACCCACACACACAGACACTCTTTCTCATAAATAGGACTCGTAACATAGGTTCCAACAACATCTCTCTCAGCACTAGACCCAAAAACAACCACTCTATAAAACTCTCTTTCTAAAGAAGATCATCTTCAGCTCAGGAAAGTATGTTGAGGATTGAATTAGTAAGGTACGATAATTTTCTTTTTAAGTATTAGAAGAGAATTTGTCTTCTGGTATGTGAAGTGTGATCTGGGCACCCTATATATTCTTGATAAATTGAGGTGTGTGAATGTAAAGAAGACCCGTAGATCTGACTCTTTAAATGGCTGTTTATTTATTTATTTTTGATATCAATCTAACAGAAGAAGCATCTCCATTTCAAGAGCTCTGTTTGCGGAAAGCAGCTTCGGCAGACAATTCTCTACCCACAATAACAGGTGTGCTAAAAGCCCTCTCTCTCTCTGGTCACTCAATTCCTTACTGTTGATGTATGCAATCATAAATGAACACATCTTCTCTAATTGAAAAACTATGAAAGCAAAGGAAAATAAATCTGGATCGACCTGACTTCATTAGGATAAATCATGCCCTCCCTGTAAAATAACAGGTGTTCATTAACTAATCAACCCACCCACAAAATCCAATCAAAAGCCTCCCTTCTCACACCCAAATCCGATTCCCCAATCTGTTAGCTGTGGCCTGTTTAGTCCCGAGGAAGGGTGAGAGGAAGACGAACAGTGGAGAGAGGGCGTGAAAGGTTGAAGGGGGGAGGAAGAGAGAGAAGGAAAACAAGAGAGGGTGTGCCCTAGTGAATACAGAATGTGATCTATCTGATTAAAAGCAGGTCGATCCGGATTCATTTTTCATATTTGTGATTAGGCCACATCAACTACCAACATGAAGCACGAAATTGATGTGTGTTGGTTATTGGTGCGTGGCTTTTATTCACTAATTATTTTCACTTGTTTTACTCTATAAAATTTGTCTTGGGACGGTAATGCATAAAGGTGGTTTAATTTTACACGGATTAGTCAATTTACTATCAAATGAATATTTCGATTGGCCTTTCTTTGAGCTAATAGTATAATAAAGTTATCAAAAATTGAATTTTCTTGTGTCATTGAGATGTATCTACGACCTATATTGAACCACATCAGCTAATTTAATAAAATTTAAAAAATTATAACGTTTTAAGATAAAAAGCTTTAGGATACCCGTAAATAACTATTTAATTTAATTATTTTAATTTATTCTTATAATTTCACTTTAAAAAATAAAATAAAATAAAAAAAGATAAAAAGCTTTATCCTTATAATTTTACTTATATATATATAAATAAATAAATAAAAGATAAAAAGCTTTACGAAGACGAAGATGTAAACATCTCTCTCCTATAAGATCTCTCATTTTTTTTTTCTCCGTTGGTAATAAGTAGATGAATTTTTATGCAGATTCAGATTCAGATTCAAATTTAAACTGAAGTATAAATGGTTAAGGTATTTTAAAGCTTTTCTATATTAAAATAATGCAGTTTCATAACTTTTATTAAATTAGCTGAAGTGATTGTTAGCCATATATCTTAAATGATAATATTATGTAAAAAATTCAACTTAGGATAACTTAGAAGATCCAAGTCCATGATTAATACATCTTGACTAATAAAAAAATTTCTAGTTTTGAATCAATTGAAGTTTTTGTGATTATGGTTTTCTTCTTTTCTATAATCAAAGAGGTAACCTTGTTGGACATTGAAAATGGTCCCATCTCTTGTGTGTGACAAACTTGACATATTGTGTGACATAGCAAGCTAGAAGGTAAGGTAGCATTGATCACTGGAGGAGCAAGCGGCATTGGAAAAGAAACTGCAATCAGATTCATCAACAATGGCGCTAAAGTCGTGATCACTGACGTCCAACAACAACTCGGCCAAGACACGGCCAAGCAGCTCGGATCGAATGCGAGTTTCATCACCTGCAATGTCAGCAAGGAAACTGAGGTTTCTGATGCGGTTGATTACGCGGTTTCTAAATATGGACAACTTGACATCATGTTCAACAATGCTGGGGTTACATACAACGCTCCTACCAGTATAGTCGACCTCGACTTTGCGGAGTATGACCGGGTCATGGCAATCAACCTCCGAGGTGTCATGGCAGGGGTCAAGCACGCATCACGCGTGATGATCCCGCGTCGAACTGGCTCCATTCTCTGCACTGCAAGTGTGACAGGAATGCTGGGTGGACTTTCACCACACACATATTCAACCTCCAAGTCGGGTGTGATCGGAATGGTTAGAAGTGTCGCGTCAGAGCTGTGCAAGCATGGAATTCGGATCAACTGTATATCGCCTTGGGCCATTCCAACTCCGGCAGCACTTGAATCTTTTACAAAATCCTATCCCGGAGTTGATGCTCAGCGGCTCCCCAATATCATAGAAAGTACAGGAGTTTTAGAGGGAGCATTTTGTGAGAGTAGTGATATAGCAAATGCTGCGGTTTTTCTAGCCTCTGATGATGCCAAGTACATTAGTGGGCATAATTTGGTGGTGGATGGTGGTTTTACAGCAATCAAGACTTTGGAGATTCCCGCACCAGAACAGGTGAAGACATGAAGACCATCAAAGACGAGAATTGGGACTTTTAGGAGCTGATACTTATTTTCAACTCCAATTAATATGAAGCTTAAAACATTATGTTCTGCTTATTAGCTGTTTCTATTTTTCAGAGGTTGAAAGTGAAATTTTCAATTTGTATAACATGTAACCATTATGTGGTGGTCATGGTTATCGCTTCTCTTTTCATTTTACTACCTCAACTAATAAATAAAGCAGACATTATGATCTTCCCATCTATTGCCTAACAGTATACTACTATAGGAATTCAAGTGTAGTGATAAGCACCTTATTTGAAGCTTGATTGAAAAAAGCAGGTGGTGGTGTAACTTTGCGTCAACTGATATTTAATATCAATATCAAGTTCAAGGCACCGATTCGGTACTCTTAAACATAACATATGTTCATTTACTTATGCAACATTGTACATGCAAGGCAGCTCTAGTGATGTTTGACAGCAATCATCTCGTATTGGCGGAACAACATTGGGTAAATATGCATTTCTACGTCTATCTATCCCAAACAACAGTTAATTGTATTGAAATTAATAATGTTGCATTGGGAGCATTCGAATTAAATCGGTGCTTTGAATTTAAAATTAAAAGAAATTAAATTTAAAGTTTTAGTTAAAAAATTTCCCATTTCAAATTCAAACCGCTGATTGACAGAATTAACAATTTGGTTACTCAATGCTTATATGCAATGATGGTGAAAATTTGGGGTTTCTAAGATACTACTATATAAAAGATTCAAGGGAGAACATTAATCTCGTCTTGTGTAAATAATGCCATTTGTTATGTTTGCACTGCCTGTTATGTAGGGTTACAAATGAGTGCGAGCCGAGCTTTTGACTGTGCAAGCTTGAGCTTGAGTGGAGATCATATACAAGTTTTGGACCTGGCTCAAACATTACTTGTCAAGCTCAACCTCAGCTAGTTTTGCTTGTTTAGACAAATCGTGCTAATGAGTTGTGGATATTCTAATTTATGACATAAAAACAACTCCTTTATTAAGCGCATTACCTATTTAACATTAATTGGGGTCGGGTTACGCGTGTAACCGGACCCGTTTAATAACTCGTTTAATATTTTTTCTTAATTATAAAATAAATATACATCTTAAATGATTAAAATTTTTATTTTGTCCTTACAAATAACTTGGATTCCATAATAATACCATGAATAACAAAAATATTCATATTGATTTAACTATGGTACTTATTAAACGGGTTGGCTTGACACAATTAAGTACACAAATTGAGTCTTCAAACCGAAATAGAACACAATTAATTCATTAAATTAATACGAATATAACAAGAACACGATTAACATCAATTCAAATCCGCTGATGTTCGAGTCCTAACCAATTTTGTGGCCCCTCACTTTATCTTATGAACCAAACCTTCTATCCCAAATTTTGTGGCCCATAACTTTATCTTTTGAACCCAACAGCCAATCTACCAGTTGCAGGCACGGTTAGAGCAGGATTATTTATTTTAAATGAAGAGAATATATCATTATATTACAATTTTTAATAATATATTATGTATGTTCGACATTTTTTTAAACGGCGAGGACAATTATTAATGTATTGAGTGAAATTATTATCAATCTGTAATTAAGTTAAATATTATTATTTTGAATTAATTTCACTAACACTTTTTTATTTGGCCAAATATCACATTGAAATTTCTTTCCAAAATTATTATCACTCGTATTATAAATTTTTTGTTCGTTTTTCACTCACATTCCAAAAATTACTTTTCAGTGTTGTCAGAGCACTTTTTCATATAAAATGACATTATTACCCTTTTGTCTTTTGTTTTTACTTATAAATAGATTGAATTATGTATAAAATGACTTAATTACCCCATAATAACCATGTTAAGTGACCAAAATACCCATAACTCTATCAAAACTATCCAATCTTCTCTTCTCACCACTCTCTTCTCCACCCACCACATCACCAACTCCATTTTTATGTCATTGATGAAGCTTGAAATAAATAATTATAATAAAAAAGAGGTTTTATATGATTCTCATATTGTCTTTTTGCACAACAAAAATGGGTCACATTCAGCCACCACAATCACCATCAGCACCATGCCCACACCAGTCACACACGCATACACACAATCACACATATATCACCGGACAATATAGAATATAAAAATTGAATAAGAATGCAGAATTTATATATATATATATATAACATGTAGAATTCAGAGGAGCCAAAAAGGTATGCAGAATTTTTGACAACATAAAAATCGAATTTGCACAAAATATAATTTCATAAAAAATAAAAAATAAAAAATAAACCCGAGGAGATCCATAGCGTCATTTCACAATTCAAAATTAATTTTTGCTTTCTCCGTTATAGAAATATTGGATTAGTGGGTCACATGAGGGAGTGGACACTGGACAATCACAAAATCACCAATCTCTTATTGTGTGTATAAGCTTGTATATATACATATACATACATGGGTCGTGGAGAAGAGAGGGGAGTGATCAGTGGGTCTGTTGAGGGGTCTGAGACCTTGGAAGAGAAAGTGGGTGTGCAGAAGGTTAGGAGATGAAACAAGATGAGAGTGTGAATTTTAGAGAAAGAAATAAATGGGGATAATTTTGTCTTTTAAGTTTATTGATATTTTGGATTAAAATGAATTAAAAAAATTAGGGGTAAAATTGTTTTTTTGCATACTTTTTAACATGTTAGGGTAATGGAAAAGTAAAATTGAACCTAAGTGATAAACCTAAGTGATAGTAATTTTCAAAAAGTGTTTTAATGTGATATTTGACTTGACCAGATTTCACTAAAATTAACCCTATTATTTTTTAAATCAGGTTTACCTCATTATTGTTCAAAGACGCCTTCATTGAAACAAATTTCTGTTCGTTGCAGTCAGTTTAATCATACTATGGCCACAAACTTGGTGCATGATATTTCAATTATTTTTTTACCATAATATCTCAATTATTTTGGCTATGACTCTTGTATGATATCTCAATTATTTTGGCTATGAGTCTTGGTCGCTTATTATTATTATCTTATTCTTCTTGTGACGCAAACGTACCTGCTCATTTATTAGTTAGTTTTGTTTTTTTGCTCATTTTTGATTGAGGATGATATTGAGGATGGTATTGAAAATCTCCATTCTGACTGTTATGTTGGAGATTCAAATATATATATATATATATATACTAGACTCCATAACTCGTACCATAGGTTCCAAGAACAGAGCCCTAAAACACACTCTCTCCATCTCTAAGAACATCATCTCGACGAAAGTATGTTGAGGCTTCAATTAAGGTAGGTACGTTTATCTTCTTCTTCTTCAAATCATGAAGGTATGTGGACTGTGATCTGCGCATTGTTGATAAATTGAGCAATCTTAAGTGTAAAGACGATACATTCTGTCCTCGCTCAAGTCTGCACCACACAGACCATTTTTGTTCTCTGGTGCTCCAATTATCAAAAGTGTTCCTCAAGAATACAGCATTCAATGTGTATAGAGTATATTTTCTGTAGATTTGACACAGTGTGTCGCTGTCATCTATTTATTTATTGATATCAATCTGCAGAAGAAGCATCTCCATTTCAGGAGCTCTGCTTGCTGGAAGCTTCAGCAGACGATTCTCTGCCCACAACAATAGGTGTGTTAAACACACACACACACACACACAGGTACTTTTTTTTACTATTGTATAATGAGGGCACTATATTCGGAATCGGGTAATACAAATTTCAATTGTCAATGTGGGGCACTCTCAGCCATGCAGTTGAACTAGTCATTCATAGGTACTTATTGTAAGCTCATTCGATTCGGTCTTATTTTAATTTCAAAAGGCATTCTCAATTCAATCATTCAAATCCAAATAGAAGAAGAAAAAAAAAAAAAATCCAAATAGGTAGGTTTGAGTGATTAATCGCTTTACAAATCAACCCCTCGGGTCCGTCTCGGTTACAGTTAAAGGCCGACAACGCTGATGTCATCATCTCTTAAGCTTAAAATGCCTATTTTACTCCTAAAATGACTGTGAAGAAGACACTTTTGCCGTCTCAGCAATACCTAATTTTCTCTTAATGCCCTCTCTTCCTCAACTCTCCCTCTTCCAAAAATAGAATTGGGTTTCCCTACAGACACAAGCGCACACACACACACACACATCAACTATACATACATGAAGGGTATTTCCATATACATACATCAACTATATATACACACGATGGGTATTTCCATATACATACATTTGAAGGATACTTCCATGAATACATTCCTATATTATATATATATATATATATATATATATTTCTTTTTCTTTTTTTGGGTACTTGTCGAAAAAATACACACATTGAACCTTCTTCACGTCTCCATGGAAAACAATCAGAACTGCAAACACTAGAACCCTAGAGACCCAGTTCTATCCCAAAGCAAAACCCCTCTTTTTTCAATAGCAAAAGTTCATCCATTAGACCTCTCACTCTCTCTTTCTAACAGACAGACACATTGAGACCTATATGAAAACCTCAACAAAAACCGAACTTTTTTATTCTCTTGAAACACACATCCACTACTCCACCCTTCACTTTCTCTCTCAAAAAACTCTCTTTCACACTCAAGACCCATCTGAAAATCCTTGGCAAAAACCCATCTTCTTTTGCCCATCAAACACGCATCCACTAAGATCTCTCTCTCTCTCTCTCTCTCTCTCTCTCTAAAGCTTTCAACAACCCATCTCACACTAGTTGTATAATTCCTTCTTCTTCTTCTTCTTCTTCTTCTTCACGCATGTATATCATACCATGTATGCACATGTATGCCGAATCAAAAACCCATCTCACTGTCCAATTGATTCTTACCCCAATATATTGGACCTGTATATCAGCTTCAAATTCTTTCAACCCATTGGCTTCTAACTTGATTATGGAGACTTCAATCAGAAGATTGACAATGTATTCAAGATTTATCAAGTAACAACAATCAAGATCAATTGTTTCTCCTATGTATGCACTCTTATATATATAATATATGTACTGTTATTTTAAATTTAAAACTAATTTTTTAACAAGGTTAATTTAGTAAATTTTCATGCTATGTTAAAGCTGTCAACATCCGTCACTTACAGGGAGGCGAGTGTGATTATTTAAATTAGAGAGTAGGATGTTGTTACTTGTCCAATCTACATGGGACGTAAGCGGAATTAACCCTATAGTTTATATATGATGGGATGAAATCTAGTGGACTCATTAAGAATTTTTGGGGTTTTAATCAATTGAAGTTTTTGAGATTTTTTTATTATGGTTGCTTCTTGTTTATAAATTATAATCAAAGCTAACTAAACATATCGTGTGACATAGCAAACTAGAAGGCAAGGTAGCATTGATCACCGGAGGAGCAAGCGGCATTGGAAAAGAAACTGCAACCAGATTCATCAACGATGGTGCTAAAGTTGTGATCGCCGACATCCAACACCAACTCGGCCAAGACACAGCCAAGAAGCTAGGATCGAATGCAAGTTTCGTGTCCTGCGATGTCACTAAGGAATCTGAGGTCTCTAATGCAGTTGATTACACAGTTTCTAAACATGGACAGCTTGACATCATGTACAACAATGCAGGGGTTACAACAAACACTACTCCGGGTATAGCCGACCTTGACCTTGCGGTGTTCGACCGGGTCATGTCAATCAATGTCCGAGGTGTCATGGCAGGGATCAAGCATGCATCACGTGTGATGATCCCACGTCGAACTGGCTCCATTCTATGCACTGCGAGGGTGACGGGAGTGATTGGTGGAATAGCACCACACCCATATTCAGTTTCCAAGTCCAGTGTGATCGGAATTGTTAAATCTGTCGCAGCAGAGCTGTGCAAACACGGAATTCGGATCAACTGTATATCGCCTTTCGTCATTCCCACTCCGATTGCGCTGGATTATATGGCTCAATTCTTTCCAGGAGTTGATGCTCAGAGGCTCACCGAAACGTTACACAACGTAGGAATTTTAGAGGGAAAATATTGTGAAACTAGTGATATAGCAAATGCTGCGGTTTATCTAGCGTCCGACGATGCCAAGTACGTTAGTGGGCATAACTTGGTGGTGGATGGTGGTTTTACAGCAATGAAGAGTTTGGAGCTTCCCGCAACAGATCAGGTGATGTCATGAAGACATCAAAGAGAAGAATTGCTGACTACAAGTTTGAGTTCACATTCCAAGGACAAACACTAGGAATATGAAGCCCAAGCACTATGCATGTCTTTCACATTCGCTTTTCTAATTTTTTTTTTTTTTTGATAAGTACATTCGCTTTTTCTATTTTCAAGAGGTTGAAAGTGAAAGTGAAAGTGAAATTTTCTAAGTAGTGAAAGTGAAATTTCTAAGTATTTGTAATACATGTAACCATTATGTGGCCACGATTATCGCTTGTCTTTTCATTTTACTGTCTCAAGCAATAAATCAAGCCAAAACTAGCGGACACTAAGATATTCACATTTATTGCCTACAAGTATACTGATATAGGAATTCAAGTGTAGTGATAAGCACCTTACTTGAAGCTCCATTGAAAAAAGCAGGTGCGAAGTGCAGGAACATTGTGCAATTCTTGTGCTGCTTCATTCAAGAAATAGTGCAAGGCACCAGCAGTTGAGGAAAATCTGTGAGCATATAATGAATCAGCAACCCAATACCGCAGCCATCAGTCTGTACTGATCTGATTAGAACCCAACCCTTTATAGCAAATTCGTGGAATGGGGGTAGAAGAAACAGTGTTTTTTATATTAAAAGAAATCTTAAATATGAACAATATTTCATTACTTTTAAGAATGAACTAGCAACAATATTAAAAGCTCTGAAATCTGGTTGCACTTTGAACAGTTATTTTCTTTTTGGCCTTAAAATAGCAAGCAGGTAAAAGTGCTAAGGTAGTAAAAAATTGAATCCAGTTCTACAATCTTTACTGACTGGAATACATGTTCATGACCTCGAATGCATGAGCTAAAAATTGATGAGAGTTATTCCATTCTCAAATCCTGCTCATGCTAGTGGGAAGGAACAATCAGAACTGTTGTAAAACAATCTTTCGCATGAAGTCCTCCGGAGCTGGAAAACAGTGGAAGTAAGAAAGGAAACATCAATCAATTGTCTAAAATTTTAGTAGCCATTATATTCTTAAACAGATGCTGCACTCCTCTTTCAATTAGCAGCATTTTCTCTCCATTTTTCCCTTATTGGTCCACCTGGTTGCAAGATCACTCCCACACCCATCTCCTATTATGAACTGACAAAAAACCACCTACCCAGTAGGTGAGTTTCTTTTTGGGGAGTCATACCCCAATCTCTTTCGTGAAAAAAAGGCCCTGATATCAACTGAGCTAAAAGCTCATTGGTCAAAACCCCCAATTCTTACCATCCAGAGATGTAGTATGGTTGCATGTCCACTTAGAAATACATTATTATGTCCCCTCCCGAAATAAATTAAAGAAAGAAAGAAAGAAGTTATTTATTTTTCTCAGGGTGACAACTTGTTCTAACAGAAAATTTGTAATCTGGTAAAGAGGATACCTAATCCACCAGTGAACAATTTGAATTGACCAAGTGCCTGCCGGATGAACATCTCAACACCACTCACCACAATGGCTCCCACCTCTGCAGATTCTTGCAAGAGTCGAGTGTTTCTAGGTGTGTAAACAGAATCAAAAACAAGATCATATGCTCTCAATGCCTCCTAAAAAGCCAAAGAGAGGTGAAAACTAAGTTGATGAATAAGTCATAAAATATATACCACATCCAGAGAAACTTATCAAACAAAATACAATGTACTAAGAGAAAGAGAGAGATAACCTTGGAAATAGGAGTTTGATTTGAATTTGGCTGCATGCCTACAGAAGAAGCGTTTGCAAGGATCATTCCATTCCCAGGGCAAAATTTGTCTAAACATTCATATGGCATTGCCTCACCAGAAACTGCTAGAGCAAGAGATTTTGCTCTCTCTGTCAAAAGAAAGGTAATGTCAGTAGACAGGAAAACTTCTGCATACAAACCTAGACGGGTAGAATTATTAGTTTTACCATTGTTGCGGTTGAAAATAAAGACCCGTGCTCCTCTGCTTTTGGCACCAAAAGCCAGTGCTCTTCCAGCACCTCCTGCTCCAACCAACACAAATACCTTTCCAGCAAGAGGAGAAGCATGTGATATTTCCCCATTGGCAGCTTGTCTTTCTGTGCACCCAACAAAATGCAAGTTAGCTTCCGATCATCTGAAATAGACCTGGTAGATTGAACTTTTTTAAGTTGTTTGTTTTTCTTTATGTTTTTTTTGTCTAGACATTAACAGATAGAATTAAAAAGGAATGAATCATTGATGGGGTGGAACTTGTAAAAATTGGATATAAAATGAGATAAAATTTAGTAAGATGATTTGGACATGTGGAATGAAGGTCAGTAATTGTATCAGTGAAGAAAATATCTTATTCCACATTGAGGGTAATGTAGTGGTGGGGAAAAGCAAAATTAACATAGGTTGATATAATACGGAAAGAAATGGTGGGGTGTGAAATATTTGAAGTGATGACACTAGATAAAATGGACTGATTTGTCAGCATAAATCTTTGTTGAGTTGAGTTCTTTTATTTGTTTGTGTATTTTTTTTTTTTACTTCTACGCAATTAAGAGATCATTTTATGATATTTTAGAAAATAAAAAGAGGTGCTTTATAGTCAAATTCCAATGTAACAAAAGATATAAAATGAAATTTTTGTTATTGTAAAATAAATCATAGAACCTCTCAATGCATCCTCAATTGCCGTTATTGAAGCCTCACAGTCTGTATTATAACCGACCAGCTTCCCATCAGTAGGCCTTCTCACAATAGTATTTACAGCTCCTATGGACTGATTGACAAAGCACGCTACACTTTAGAGAGCTTATATATACTGTCATACTATCAATGGCACATTTCAAATGAAAAAATAACATTTTGTGGTAAAAAATTATCCATGCCCCATGGTTACAAAAACGATGTCAATACTGGAATTCAATAAATTTCTACTGATTTGACTAAGTTGAAAATAGTGCACATTTATGTTAGAATCAAGCTAGGTTGAAAGAAGAATTAATTGCAGAAAACAGAAATTATTTTCTTTTTTTTGATAAGTCAATTGCTAGAAACACAAATTCTGATGTTAAAAATACTAAGCATAGATAGGAAGCAACTTGTATAATGCATCCAAATAACACACTGCCCAAATTAATCTTGGGGCTGCCATAGGTTCAGTCCAAGAAAACCTCAAGTCTGTTGAATTGAAGATCCCATGTAAACCAACTCAACCTGATTTATGATTTAATTACCTTGTATCCCTTAATATGCTGCATTCATACGGTATATGTTTAAACATAAGGCCCTAGAAAAAAATATATAATAATAATAAGAAAGAAGAATATATCATGTTTAGCAGACTCAAGAAGTCGAGATAGGGCTGTATGGAATTGGATTGAATATATTTTATCACTTATATATGCAAAAATATTAAACTCCACATCGTTAATACCATGCAAGTTAGGTGGTGCATCTCATTTATATAATTCAATGCTTATACATTGAATTCTTATAGAGAAATTCTGTTGTCTTCGAATTTAAAAATCTCAACTGGAGCATTAATTTGGAACTCTGCAATCTCAACCAGGGTTGGTGGCTTGGCTCCACAAACCATTTACTTCGATTTTGGCTGTGGAACCAAGCCTGACCCAGTTACATCTGATTCTTTCTCCATGCCAACCTGAATAAACTTGAACTATTACACCCAAGAAAGGATTAAATGAAGGGGAAACAACATCCTAAAAAATAATGTAGATACATTTTCAGCAATACACACACAGAAGAAAGAATTATTTAAAATCTGAATTATTATTTTTTAAATTTTTTCAAAACTAACGAAATTACATTGCATATTAATATGGAATAAAGGCAATTATGATACTGATGAAGAACAAAATTACATTGCATAGATTAAGACCTTAGCAAGTGGATGGACTTCATCACAGCACTCTACAGCTGCTTCCTTATGCGGGATTCCAACACTACAAGTTCCATCAAAGGAATGAAACATGCATTAGAAGATCTCGTATTCCAAAACGGAAACCCTAGTTAAATGATTCAACAACAAACAATTGAAATACCAACAACAACTCATTCAATTAGGTGTAAAATTAACTAGTTTTTTGTAGAACAAAGAACACACAATACCTGAAACCAGCAAAGTCGGTGCCAGAATAGACCCTAAAGAATTCCTTGATATCATCAACAAGCATTGGAACATAAATTCCATTGTATCGTGTATGTCTAAAGGCAGGATTATGGAGAAGTGGGCCTTTGCTATGGCCCACTGGATTGGAGATGAGCCCAAAAACTTTTGTATCTGCATTTATGTATTCCAGCTTGTATACTCGTTTGATGCTGAGCAGAGGCGGTAACCCAGGTATGGATTTGCCTTCCAGAGATCCACAAACTAAAAAAGCACCGAACTTTGGGCCCAATAGTTGGCTTATGAGTCCTCTATCACCCACTGCTGTAGCAATAAGTGGTACCTGCACAGTAACCTAATGCAACTTGAGTGCCAGTCCACTAGCATACTACTTGTACTAATTAAACTTACGAGTCCTCTATTTTCAGTGCGTAAATGCTTTCTCCTTAATGGATGTCACACTTAATTTTTCTTTTACATGTTCATTTATGACCACATCTCTTCTAAGCAGTCAAATCATTCATGTTAACATTTTCATTTTCGTTATATGAAGACGTTGTTCTTGTTTCTTTTTTTAAAGTCTGACACTCCACTCCAAGCTGCTACTTCCCAAAGAAAAGTCAGGAATTCGAGCTATTATAAAGGCAAGTGTGTGTGAGTACCAACTAAAAAAAAAAAAAAAAAGAATCTAACACTCCACTCCGACTTAATACCAATACCAATACGTACTATAGAATTTGTATTTCACCACCTCAGAAGAGTAAAAGGGGAAAAGATTAGGAGGAGGAGCTGCAAATAATGAATTGGCAGTTAAATATTGTGAATCCATTGATTTGGTTGTAATGAATTGGTACCTGAGAATGGGTGAGCATATGAAAAAGTGGTGCAATGTCTGTAATATAATCAACGTCAATCAGTAGTTTGATAACATCTGCTCCAGTAGATTGCAGGCATGCAATTAGGTTACCAAGTTTTTCTCTTGAAGGTTTGCCGCCATTGACATGGTCGGATACAATTATCTTGCTATTCAAACGCTTCTTCATAAACTCTGTGATGCCAACCTTAGAAGCTACCTGAAGAGTTTCATGAGGATCAGCCAAAATTCACGAGTTCAACAAAAATTAGTTGTTGGACATTCCTACCTAGCTTATTTATAGCTCATTATAATTCTAAAATTCTCTAGATTTTTTTATTGCAACTGCCTCCGCTAAGACTCGAACTTTTTACCTTCCTTCAAGTACAGCTGAACCACTAGCCCATTGATTGTTCTTTCAATATTACACTAGGTTGTTTATCGATCACAAACAAGTATTACTAACCTCAAGCTCAATTTCGACAAATTCAACATCTAATTCGAGAGCCAGTGTCAGAACTTGCAAGCATGTGTTCTTGGAGTCTGCTGGTCGTGAAGTCCTTGGCGAATTAAGTCTGTAAAAAATTAGGCAATCTCATATGGATATGATGGAGTAATGTGATGGTCAATACGCAAAATCAAAACTTTCCAAGATAAGAGAGAGCAACAATCAATTCCATAACTTAATAAAAAAAAATAATAAAAAAAATCATATGAAACTGTCCCCAACTTTTGGATGTTAGGTATTTGTGAAAGAGAATGAGGAACTGAGACTATGGAATTGACTATGATTTTTTTTATTTATTAATTTTATAGTCATGATTAATTTTTGTATATAAATATTAATTTTTAGTAAAAAAAATTGAAATTTTAATATATATATATATTATATATTAATATTTTTAGTAAATATTCTACTTTTAAATTTATATTATACTTTTAAATTTATATATACAAAAAAAATTGAAATTTTAATATATATATATATATATATATATATATATATATATTCCACTTTTAAATTTTCTTTATCCTCAACAATCATCTCTCATTACTTACAATATTACTGCTAAGGATTGTAATTCAGTAATATTTTTTGAATAATGCTTAGCAACTCACTGGTGAGTAGTTTCAACTTACTCACTCCTTTCGTGTTCCAATAACAATTTACCATATCAGCTTTAATAATAAAATAACCCACGTCATCCTGTATTTTATCGGATCTTCCATTGAATAAGTGTGAATTATTTTATTATTAAAACTGATATGGTAAATTATTATTGGAACACATAAAGAGTGAGTAGGGTGAAACTACTCACCGGTGAGTAGCTAAGCATTATCCGTATTTTTTTAACCTCTCACACTCAAATGTTTTTCAAGTCTTGAAACAAAGTGAATGCTTTTTTTTTAATTCATTTGACGGTGAGTAGCTAAGCATTATCTGTATTTTTTTTAACCTCTCACACTCAAATGTTTTTCAAGTCTTGAAACAAAGTGAATGTTTTTTTTTAATTCCTTTGACGGTGAGTAGTTAAGCATTATTCGTATTTTTTTAACCTCTCACACTCAAATGTTTTTCAAGTCTTGAAACAAAGTGAATGTTTTTTTTTTTAATCCCTTTGAGGGTAATGTGTTTTTTTCAAAACTAGTTTTTTTTTTTCTGTTTTTTCTAACCAAACACAAGTTTAAGTAAATTTTCAAATTGTAAGCAGTTTGACTTGGTCAAACTCCAAACATGCTCAAAGTGGCCTTTGAGTGACATTGTGAGAATGATAAATACAAAATATATACATACAAGTATATACGTATATATGTTTGTATATATTTGAGGTCTTTTCTGTTTTGGGTTGTTTAAGGAAAGTAATTAGAGAAGATAAAAAGCTCTTGCCTGATCATGCTGCATTCATATCTCCCTCTATTTGTCTTGTTCCCCGCCTTACCGTCTTGGATGGTGTACCCAACCTTCATACATATCAAACGCGCGTGTTCGATCACGGTTTGGAAAAAGACTACCTAACCTACCTCTCCTCTTGCTTCATTCCATTTGTACTCACAGGAATGTCCGTAAAATTTATTGCTCCTTATATATATATATCATTGTGACGGAGAGTTCTGAGTTCATCAAGTACTCATTCTTAAATGGATAAAAATTCGTACATTTCACAGTTACGGTGGGGGTTATAACTCTTCTGAAGTGAACGGCGCTTGTTCAAATTCTCAAATGAACAAAATGAAAGTGAATAATAAGTGTTAAGTTTTCAAATGGACAAAATAATTATATGAGTGAAATGTGTGTGAGTTTCTTAATTGTCAAATTGATGTGTTTTTTAAAAATAAATAAATAAATAAATTTGTCAAATTGAGATGTTATATTAATAGGTAAAATGATAGGTAAGGACCATCATGCCATGGACTTACAGTAGAGTAGTACATTAATTGTCAATAGTCTCGGAATATATAGGATAATTAATGGTTGGCGGTGTAATTAATTCACCGCTGACAATGGATTAATTATGACAATATGACAGGTAATGAAATGATAAAAAAAGAGTTACAAGAATGAGATGATCGATACATGAGTAATTCAAGTAACTGGTTATCAAACAACAACTAGTATATATATATGTGTGTGTCAGTGTGTGTGTATACTACATATATATACACACACACTCACACGGAAGTATAGTAAAAATGTGAATGAACTACCAACCTCCATCGACTTGTATATATATATATATGTGTGTGTGTGTGTGTGTGTGTGTGTGTGTGTGTGTGTGGGTGAAGAAAAGGAAAAGTATATAGAAGGTAGGTACCTGAAAGAAACAATTACGGGAAGAGTTCTTTGTTTTAGGAGTTGTTCAATTTCGAAAATGTGGGAAAAGGACATGGAATCCATGCGAAGTTCTACAAGATCCGCACCTTCTTCTTTAGCTTTCTCCATGGAATATACCATTTCTTCCATGGTTTCACATTCTAATGTTGTGCAGACTAAGAGGTGGTTATTGAAAGCCATGAATGTGTGTGTGTAGTGTGTGTGTGATAGAGAGAGAACGTCCATTCAGCAGAGCCATGAATCCGTATATAAGCACCCCATGAGTGTGACATTCATGATTTACGGCCACAAATAAAAATAAATTACTCGTGAAAAGAAAGAAAATTGTGATTCTGGCATGTTAGTCTAGACTACGGGACTTTTGGTTTGGTTACTAGTAAAAAGAAAGAAAAATGTGATTCTCGCATGTGGGATTTACATATCCCATATTAATATTTTATATTGTTGCTTTGACAATAAAATAATTTTTTTATTAGTCTCATACGATAATCGTAACACCTAATTAATGGGTGTGTGTCCTGAAAAGATTTCCACTACTTCATACTGTATATAATAATATACTCATTTCCCAAATAATAAATAAAAGGGTTAATCACACTCACAATTCTTAAAATTTGTTATATAGATAAAGTTGAAGGATTTTTGAACAATGACACCCCTTGTTAGATTTATGATCCAAACAAAGTCTAAAAGTAGGTGAAATGTCTAATTCACCCTTTAATATCTTATTAATTGTTAATATAAAATATCAGAACAATTAATGATTGCAATGCCCTTATGCAATATTAATATTCATTTTTTTATTTTTTATTTTTTTGACCTTTCTTCCCGAGATCCCACTAATTCTTCCACATCTTGCTACCTACGAAAGCTACAACGAAGATCATTTTATTGTTTTATATAGACAATATTACACAAATTATTAAACCAAAAATTGTTCAAATTCTACCAATTTTAATTATGTGATTCAATTTCATGCGATCAAACACATCTTAAATACGATTGAAATTCGAAGAAAATGTTATTGAACATCTATGATAAGGAGAAACAAGAATACAAATTTACCAAGAGCTCAGCCTTCAAAAATAAAGAGACTAAAAATGATCCAACATCTTTAGGGAAATTTCCATATCCAAAGTAACACACTGTAAAATGACCCAACATTTGCAAGGTGGAGGTGGGTCCAGTAAATGATGTGATGTGTTGAGCCAACCACCGATCCATTCATTATTTTTTGGGAGTGGGCTCGCTTCATTGGATACTTTTTGTTTCCTTTTTCTCTCATACTTTATTCTTTACTGGAACAGCTTAGATATTCATAAAGATAAAGATTTTTCATTTTTTTATTTGGCTTGATCAATTAAAATTATTCAGTTAAAAAGTTCTGTCACACTCATTTATTTAATTCATATATCAAAGTAATTTATTAAAATCATAGTGTCAAACTCTGATTAAAGAGTCTAAAATGGGACAGTGGGGAGAAACAATTAATTGATCTGGATTCTCTCCATAATCCATTTTTATAGGTTGAACAACTGGCTTCCTATATTTCTACCAAATAATTAAACCTACTTATTCTCTATTTTGGATTGTCAAGTAAAATGGTTTTATTTTGCCTTGTGCATTACATTATTACAATACAGATATATGCTCATCCTATATTTTATTATTATTATTTGTATACATTTTATTTTTTTCGTTGGTAAAAAATGGTGTCTATATTATATTGGCTTTTTATTATAAAAAAAAAAAATTGTAAACGAAAGCAGAAACGATTTTTTTGCTTTTAGATTTGGATATTTTTCAGGAATACAAGTGGTATACCAAATCAGAGATAATATGTAATGACTATATATTTGATAGTAAATGCGTTAAATATATATATATATATATATATATATATATATATATATTTGATAGTAAATTACTAAAATATCATATATATTATATATATATACACGCACACATAGGTAGGAGTGTATGACGAGGATATTGATTTCAAAAGGTTATGATGATAGGTAAACCTCACGGGTAGTGAAATGACGAAGAAAACCCCTTGAGGGTCTCATATTATATATATATATATATATATAATACATAGGCATGAGTGTTTGACGAGGAGGAAAAGGAAAAATAAATATGAAGACTGAAGAGGGAATTTCATAGCACGTGACCTATGTCACTCTGACTGGCAGATTAGAGAATTTGTTGGCAGATTTATTTCAAACAAATAATATCGGTGAATTAATGCATATGCCAAGAAATTTGTGTCTGCAAATCACTCGTGATAAAACCTTGTCGGCTTCATGTGAGTAAGAGATTATACTTACATTTTACAAATCATAACACATCATGATTTTGTAAGATTGCATCATGGAAATAAGGAAACAACTTTCTGTATGCAGAGTTAATATTAGATACATCAAAAAAATTCATGAGAGAGAATATAATTTTAAAAACAAATTCTCGGGCATGGAGAGATAACGAGTTAAGATGCAATATGGCCAAAATTAAAGTCCCAAATCTGTCATTTTTACCGATAAAAGTCTTGTCGAGTCAGAAATTATACTTACATTTCACGTGTAAAGATGGTTGGATAATACACTTACCCAATGTTACTACTGTCCACAAAAATGATAACAATAAGAGAAGATGATAGATCTTGGACCTTAATTACCGATTTTTTTTTTTTTGTATTTCTTTAATAATAATACACATTTTGTAAAACTTTCAACATACCAAAAAAAAATTTTCTATTAAAAATAAAAAGCCAGCCAGCGCTTTGTCTGTGTCATCATACATGCAAAACACCAATTGTGTATATAACCCTCCGTTTGGTTACGGAGAAAATTTAGATTATTCATTATTTTGCCTGTTCTTAGAAATAACATAAATAAATAGAAAGTGAAAAAAAAAAAAAAAAGAAGAAAAAAAAAAAAAAAAAAAGAAGAAGATAGGATAAGATAATGTCGAAAACGAAAATTCAGGCCACCAACCAGGATTCGACACCAAAAATCTTATGTCACTAATCAAGAATCCATATATAATTATGATGATATTCATCAGATTCCACATAGAGCACTCCCACATGTATGGTGCATATTCATATACCGACAATATGTTACCAATTATTGCAAAGCAACACATAAATGTCAAACTGTCTCACCAACCATGTGTTTGCCTCATTAATAAAATTAGTACTCCCACGTGTATGGTGCATAAATCACATGTTTGCAATTCCCCTAACTTTGGAGCCAAACCCATGCTACAAGCGAGCAAACTATAAATATTTAAAATTTGAGCAAAATTAATATGCCAATAGTAATAATTACATGATATTACTCACCAATTAAATATTAACACATAGTGAGATGCATATATATTTTTATAGAATACAAATAGTATTCCATATACAAGAAAGATTTTTTCGATAATCACGAGTGAAAACATAAATTTAAATAAGAAAATAGTTACCTTGCGAAATGTCAATATTGGGTTTCTATTTAATCTTTCTCTCCTAGCAAGTTACACTGAATAATTGCCTCTACAATTTGCGAAATGTCAATATTGGGTTTCTATTTAACCTTTCTCTCCTACCAAACTACACTGAATAATTGCCTCTACAACATTGATAGCATTCTCTGAAGAAAAGATAGTTGTGATGATGCAAAAAAAAAAAAAAAAAAAAAAAAAAAAAGAAAAATTGTTGTGATGATGAGATAGCCAAGATTGGACTGAAATTTTAGAAACCCAGCCCAAAAGTTGCTCAAGCCCAATCTGTTCCTCAATCAACAACCTAAAAACTCAACCCACTTCTTCAACTGAGATCTGGTTTTTAGTGGGTTGGTCCAAAATTAAAAGAATTGCTGTGATACTTCAATCCCATGCTCTAGCTCCGCTTTATTAGTATTATTATTTTTACACCGGCAAAAATACACTCACATGACCACATGTTTTACAAGAATTTAAACCTTTTACTTTCTGTTTGGAAAGGCGAAAAAGTACCACTACGTTACAACTTTGATAACTCGGCTTTATTATAAATTTATACTCCACCTATTGAGGTCATTAACCCCCTCAGAAGTCAGAACAGCCACCTTACATGCCTCGTATAACTTAATACAAACTAATTTAACAGTAGTTTCCAAACATCCAGTAAGTTTCAGAAGTGTGATTTTTAAGGAGCAGCTGCCCCACACATGTTACAGTTTCATGTTAGGAAAATGTGCAACTTTATATAACCAGCAAAAGCTGCATTATGTCATAAACATTTCCAATGCGAGAGGACAAAAAATTCACTTGAAACTCGTGGTGCATGGTCAAGCAACTAGTCCTGCTCCATCCGTTGGATGATTAAATTCACTGCTGCATTTGCCGACGAGAATGCTCCGTGAAAGCTTTCTTGATACGAAATAGATTCCAATTCTCCAGCCATCTTTAACAAAATCTCGCCCACATCTGTTTGTTTCTCCACCAAAGATTCATAATATGAGCGTGCTGCGACCTTGCTGATTTCTACATTAGTTGGCTCCGGACAGTACTCCTCATCCAACCATTTATGCAGACTTACTCTTAGCCACTCTGATTCCTGTGGAAAATTTTAAGAGTATGTAGACAGTACAACTGAGACTACACGCGTCGATATAGCCTACTTCTATATACTTCATGCATGCTCATTGATATAGCCTAAGCACCATGCAAACATAGGTTCGGGGAGAATATATATATAGAGAGAGAGAGAGGCACAAATCATTGTATAAATTAACCGCCAATATAAAAACTAAAAAGAAAGAAAGACAAAATCTTAATTGTTGGTAAAAACATTAATATTTCAATATAGGAAAAAGAAAGGGCCTCTCAAATGAAACAATAAATTCATTTTATGATTCCTAAGTGTTGGGAGAACACCATCAGCCTCAGGGCTTTTGATGCATTGGTCAACTTAGTAACATTTGGCATTGAAGTAGGTGTAAGATTTCGGTTTCAAGTTACGGAAGATAGTACTACTTGGCAGCTGGAACAGAGTATACCTATGGCTACTTGCAACCAAAGTGAGACGGTGGAAGATGACAGCTACAGGAACATCATATTTGTTGTGGTTCCAAAGGATTTCTATATGTTGTACAAAATATAAAAGAAGAAGAGATCGAAAAAGGAGAGAAAGCCCACTTCAAGGGGGTGAAACCTCCTATATATTCAACTTGGTAGAACAGCACATCTACAACTGCAAATGGAAATTAAGTTAAACACCAATCCACTCTTTTCTCCAACGACCTTCCTTTTCATTAATAATTCAATCTCTCTAAGTACAAGAACGTATATACTAACTCGATATCTGACTCAACTCATGATCATGTAATGGACTCGGAACATAAGAACAAATTAAATCTAATATGATACCAACCACTTAATATCTTCTCTAACTAACCCATTAGATCTAATTACTACTATAAAATGCTTGTATCTTTCCATGTATTATGAGACCAACCTTGCCCTCAAAACTATACTTCCACCGGAATATCAATCATGTCTCCCCCGATCTCATAAATACAATTCGTGAACAGGACAGCTCCATCGTCATAGGGCACCATGAAGACAAAAAGAACAAAACATATCTTCTAATTACAGCACTCCCAAGAATGGAATAGGCAACAGCTCCGCAAAATTATGGTTCAACTAAAGAAATGCATTTGACTAAATAGATTTTTTGTTTTCCAGGTAAGGTACTGAGTAAATAGATTGTTGCCATGAGCAATCATCACTTTTTCTTCATTTTTCAATATTTGACACTATTCATCAATAATATCAACTACCATCATTTCTACATTCATTGTTCAAAGTTCCATCAAATAAGGGTCCACTTCCATCTTTTCAAATGCAAATTCATAATCAAAACAAATTACAGGTCTATCCACTTTTTACAAATTACAAGAATTTTCCAGAATTTTGCACTATATATATATATATATATATATATATATATTTACAAGGGAAGGATGAGAAGATAATTCCAGATCAAGGCAGGTGTAACTTCTCAAAACAAAAAAAAAAATTCAAAACAAGCACCAGAATAAATATACCTCCCCAACAATCATAAATTATAGTAGTAAACCTCAATGGAACAAATAATCACATGTAATATAAATATGTAGGCAGCAATTAGGGCAATTAAAACCTGACCCAGAGACATGACATGAATGAAACACCATGAAAAGATAATCAAGAATTAAAGTTGTTTAATCATATAATTTACCATGAATTATCAATAAAACACCCATTGAAAGAGACGATACCTCCAGGGCTTTGGAAGGGTCGAACCATTGGTCAGGAACCCTAAGATCTTGAACTTGGGTTTGTCGGTCTTCTTCTCCATCACTTTGTGGATTTAAATGACAATAAGATCTTTGGACAGAAACGGAACGGAGGTGACCTTTCGGAGGGTACGTTGATCGAGAAGAGACCGGAAAATTAAGGGTAGGTGTACCAATTGTGAGGATAATACCATACATCTTTGAACTAGGTAGAGAGGTGCCATATATCTTTGAAGTCGGGACAATGAGAAATAGGGACCCCATTGTTTCTGAAATTTGGATTTCTTCCCTTAATTTTTTCCAAATCTCGTTGTGATTTCGCAGAAGCGGAATGGTTAATGGCGGGAAAACGAGTGGCTCGTAACACAGTTTATCAGTTGAACCCGTGAAAGCCAGGATGAGGAGGATAAGCCGAGTTAAAAGGGAAAAGCAAGTACTCCACTAGTTAAAGAGTACTATAATGTTTCGTCTTAAATTCCTTGGTAGTGTTTAAGAGAAAGGAACGAGGGAGGACAGAAGGGGATTTTTAGCAAAATTGGCAGTTGAGACTTGAGAGGCACCTCCAATTTGAAATTGAAAAAATAAATAAATAAATTAGTTTAAATATTTTAATTAAAATTTATTTAATTCTAAATCTAAATTGTCAATTTGGTGCTTCCAAACTAGCTGGGCCAGTTGGGGGAAGCTTCTTGAAATGAAAAGTCCTTTCATTAGAATGGGCTTACAATAATCACTTTGTAAGAAGAAATTTGAAAAAAAACAAAGGCGTTTGGCTGCCTTACTGACACCATACTAAATCATATTGACAACCGTTTTTTTATCCAAAAATAAAAAATTGTAAGAACAATTAGGTAGAATACTTCTACCACTAAAAATGTTAATTATTATTTTGATAATAAATTCCAAATGAAATATAATGTAAACATACCCAAGATTTTAAATACTAATTTCAAATAAACAATAATTGTCCAAAATAAATAAATGAAACCTTTAAAAACAATCCAAATTAAGACATAAACAGACTAAGGCACGATTTATTTAGTTGATTGCCATATTGAATTAGCAATCCCATCATGTGTAATGCTCATTTCTTGTTGTTGTCCTCCATTGCAGTAGATTTCGATGGAGTGGCACGCGTGTACATACTATCATTATAACATTGCACTTCATGATATCGTGGTAAATTTGTGATTGGTTGATATTTGTTATATACTTGTTATTGTGGTTGAAAATGTGCGTTTCCCGATAGTATGATCCTGTTCACTTTTTATCTATTCATTGCATGGATTCACGGGGACATAAGAAGTGTGTCTTAGACACTTCCTACTGAGCTTGTGCTCACCCCCTTATTTTTAACATTCTTTCAGGATATGGAAAAGAGGTGGTGGACGACGGTCCACCACAGGTTTAGATGAGCTTGAAGATCCATTCTATTTTGTTATCTTTTGTATTAGACTCTAGTATTTTGTAAATGTAATATTAACTACCTTATGACACTTTAGTTTAATTAGTATAATGTTGTAAGTTATGGACTTTTAATTCTAGCTACATTTTATGGACTGTAATTTGATGTAACTTAAGTGGGTTCCATGTTTGGATGAGATGGAGGAACGGGACTTTTGTATGTATGTAACCATTTTGGGAATGTAGTATAATATTTGAATTGTGCGTTGGGACAGGATAAGTTAGATTTAAGGCCCAGTGAAGCCATTGCATTTATTTTTGTATTTCTACAGGTTGTTGAGGGACATTTTCTGCGGAAGTCATGCCGAAATTTTTATAAATTTTTATTATTATTTTGGTATTTCTACAGGTTGTTGAGTCGTTACAAGGTCGTCGTCATTTTTACTTGCAGATCGCAGAGGCAGAGTGGAGAACAAAGGTTAATTTGGAAATATACTAAAATTTGTAGGGTTAAAATTGTCATCACAATATTTATCACTTAACTGCCTCATTGGCTTGCCGAGAATGGGATTTCAGCAGCCTATTTTTGTGGCTTTCCTTAAACGGGCTTTCAAAGGTCTGGGCATTTTAAAGAAGCCCGTTCAAAATATTTGTCAAACACTCACTTTTTTAGTGAAATCATTTCATGGGGTTAAAAGCCCATTTTGGAGCTCCAGAAAGTCACGCCAAACATGGCCTTGATAAATCTAAACAATCAACAACTCAATTATTAGATGATGTCAAATCGTTTTAGATCATAGGTCATGGTTCAGGATAAAAATTCTCTCCAGCGCCAAAGGAAATATGTCCTAGCCGGTGACTGATCTACGGTTCTAGTAACGCCACGTCGCATAAGTGGGGATGGGTTAAAATTTGTTACTGCATACTGCAAGTATAATACTTTATACAAAATACCAAATTTCAGCAAACGACGCTTTTTCTTTCTCACTGTTTCTACTTCCCATGGTATGATACTGCTTACAATTTTTGCCCTAGCTTGCTTTATGTTACAACCAAGATATAGAGTGTGCAGTCCAAAGGCTAAAGTGGCTTGGAGTAGGGTGTGCAGTCCAAAAATGGCAGGTGGAATGGGGATCCCAAACTTGGAGATTGCTAATAGAACTGGCATCTTGAGGTATATTTGGGACTTGCAAACTGATAATTCAAGCAGTCTCTGGTTTAGATGGTGTCATTCTCACCTTATCAAAGGGAGGAACCTCTGGACTCTTAAGTTACCAGAACCATGTTCTTGGAGTTGGAGGAAAATTCTCCAACTTAGGCACCTAGCCAGAATGCTCATCAAGCACAGGATTGGCAATGGATCCCAAACTTCATTCTGGTGGGACAATTGGACAACAATAAGGCCTCTTAGCTTTAGATTTCCATACACTCTTCTAACTGAGGCTGGGTTTAATGATGGAACCACTGTCAATTCCTTTATTGTTGATAATATCTGGTCTTTCCCACTTTCTTTAACCTCTGCCATACCTGAATTGCTCTCCTTACCACCACTTTGCCGCACTAGAAGTGACTAAAAGAAGTGGATTGCATCTCCAAATGGGCAGTATTCTTTCAAGCATACACTGCAGCACCTTGTAGGGGATCTCTCATCAATACAGTGGCACAATCTAGTGTGGGATTCTCCAATCATACCAAGAATGAAATTTAACCTTTGGATGGCGGTTCAATCAAGGTTGCCTACCCTGGACAGCAAAGCTATGGCCAGACGTCAAAACATTTGTGCTCTTTGCAACAATTCAACCGAATCTCATGACCATTTGTTTTTCAATTGCTCCTTCATCTCACCAATTTGGAGGTTCATCACTTACAAATGTCAATTGGTCATCCCAACAGCAAATTAGGAAGTGCTTGTTCTACAGATCAGCAACAATAACACCCCTTCAAACATGCTTCGAAAATTGGCTCTCCTCTTAGTTGTGTATCATACCTGGGAAGAGAGAAATGCTAGGATTTACAGAGGAGAAAAATCATCTTAACGAGTCGTTTGCTCCAAAATCTGTTCCACCATCTCTGCCATTCTCAAATTAAGGGTTCTTAGAAATTGCTCAACAACTTCAAAGATCCTCAAGGACTGGAATCTCTCCTCATCATGTTGTCGTCCTCCCTTCCGGCCGCCTCCAAGACCGCCAGATTAGCTTCCTTCGCACAGATTGTGCAGCTCCAACACCATTACCGGAATGCTCTCTAACAACCATTAATGGTTCGGTACTGCGACTGGTTGTTAGCTTGTTCTCTCAATTGGATTTTGGTTTGGGCTAGTCCCTTGTTGTATTTGCCTTTGGGCCTGTTGTCTCTCCCTTGTTATGGCCTAAGGCCCACTATTGTAAATACTATTTTTAATTTTTGATAGTAGCTTAAAATTTAGAAAAAAAAAAAGAAAAAAAAAAAAAGATATAGAATTAAATTTTAACCATATGGATTGAAATAGATAGATATCAGATTTTCCTATAATTTCAACTGTAGTTCTAAAAGCCTTTAGAATTTATGGTCCATTAGTTAGAGCTTTTGTCAAACAGTTGGAGGACAAGAAATTTATAAGATGAAATCACAATGTCTATGCTTCTGATGACTATTGACATTCGTTTTGTAGCGCCGGAGAGGATTTCGGTCCCATGGTTCATTAGCTAACTAGAGTAGCTACTCCTATTAGATACTATTACAAATCGATTCACTTATGTGCCAATTCAACCCATAGAATATTATTATCAATGAAAATTTCTAGCCCGTCTCATCAAAACCAAAATACTTGGTAAGGTCCTAAATATCTTGTTCTTTACCCCCCTTAATTATACAACCCAGACAAGCTAGGTAATCATGAAACCATTTTGATGGAATAGATCAAAACGAACTTCTCCCCATCCAATCAAAGAATATTTCAATGCATTCCATCTTTGCTGGGCCCATCATGCAACCAACTTCCAATGTTGGCTAAGTCCATTCTACTTTAAATTTTTCTTAAAAAAACAAAAAATCACAGACCTCCTCATGTTACAATCATCTTACACAACTACATAGTTCTCAAACAACATAGAGCTGCAATTGTTTAATGTATAATAAGAGGCTCATACATTTTCTCTCCTACAAATCTCCACAACCTTGCAATGAAACTCATACCATTCACAGACAATATATAGCTACATACATTTACTGTTGACTCTCAACATCATTTATTTAGTTATCAGTAAGGTTGTATGATCCCCCGTGTGACACTTTTCATGTTATGGATGATGGAATAAAACGAACCACCTTGACAAGTAAAAACTATAACAGCGATGGGTTTGGTGAGCTTGGTTCCAAATTATCAATGTCTTCCTTGGGACAGATTAACAGCTTTCGCGCCATGGACCCAAATTTTCTGCATTTGTAACAATGTTAAAATATTAGCACAATTGAATAATCACAATCTAACACTAAATCATGGTCTAATAGATGATAATTTTAATCAGCTATAAGGGATTTTGTACTAACAGCCATGGGTAATTTCCATTCAGCATTATGTTCCCTTCACCGTCTGTATACGTTACATGCCAACCACTGCTCCCATCAATCAATGTTCCTTTGAAATCGAACATCTGGTCAAGTTCACAAATGAGTTCATCATACCCATCAAACCGTGCAAGGTCAACTGATCTTCCAAGAGCAGTTCCATGCTTCAGTACCTGCAATGGAAAAAATTTACAATTTCTCAAATATTGTCAACCCAACCACATTAAGTGCATACAAAGGAAACAATTTTAAGGAATTTAATAGATATCTTTTACACAGAAGGTTACTGATCACAAAACTTCGCCAAAATCAGCATTGGCTTCTTCCTCAAAAGTTCCTTTCAAAAGTTCCCATTTACCTACCTTTGTGCAACTCCGGTTAGTAACAGAAGAACACTTCTTGCATTGTTTCTCTGGAAGGTTGCCAGAAATGCTGTTAGACGGCAACGAGACCTGGACAGATTCAGAAATGCTCGACTGAGATGCTGCTGGAGGGACAGAAGAAGCACCATGAAGCTCACTAGACGACATAACTTGTGGTGAAGGGAGCTCTGGGTGACAATTAAATATATTGACCCCAAAAAGCATGTATCTTCCACTTCCATTTGGTAAGGCTACTGGAGCCTCTGTTTCTTTTTTCTCTTCAGACGCCTTCCAGTCCTGAGATACAGAACTGCTGGAGTTGATGTTTGGAACAGACATGCTTCTACTCACTTCAACACTGCCATGTCCATGGGAGGTAAACATTGGAGGGCAGTAGTTAACTAGCCCTGAATTGAGAAAATTTCCACCAGGAACTGATACCATGTTGCCAGGGCACTCGTAAAACTGGCCATTCATCTGAAAGCACAGATGATTCTCCAATCCCATGTGGCCCCAATCAGGATTTGATTGCGGAATCACATGTGGTATGGGTGGTTGTATTGATGCAACCAGTTCATAAGCACCTGTGGCTCTAATTTCTTGACCTTGCAAGACCCCTGAGTGTATTTCAGGTGTACACTTGACTAAATTCTTCTTCACTAAGCCTAGAGAATAGAAGACCAAAGGAATTTGATCATTTACAACACATAATAGGGTAGTTTGAAGTTATGGTCAATTATTTCTTTAAAAATAGAGCAGTATTATTATCTATTTATTTAGTTTTTAAAAAACAAGCAATTAAAGAAGAAGAAAAAATCTATAGCCAAAAATGGAATGTATAAAACCTACTTACCATCACTGACCAGAGCAGGAAACTCAGGATTTGATGGGTCGAAAGGGCGTGACCTCTTTCGATGAGGAAGAGTAGAAGTGTGCTGCTTCTTTTTTACTTCTACAAGCTCTATGCTCCAAGGAGAAACCTGTTCAGGACGAAAAGGAATACCTGTTGTGGAGTCCCATCTCACCTATAGAGAGAAGAATATATAGACAAATATGACGACAGCAAATATGAGTTTCTGAAAAAAATAAAAAGTTCATCTTGAATAACGTGGTAATATTGTTACCTTGAGACATCTCCATTCTGAACCAGGCCACCTGATGCAATCAATATCGTCAACACCAACTACAGTTCCTGCAAATCTGGTTCATATAACTACATTCAGTTGATTTAATAGAACACGAGAAGAATCGTATTCCAGTGGGCAGATATTAGCTGCAATAACTTTTTGTTCTGTTGTCAATTATTCCACTAACAATAATAGCAAGGAAATTTACAATATTTTCCAAAATAAATCCATGAATTTACACTACCGAGTCAAATAAACGATGTTAATGTCAATATGCAATCCCATGATCAGCAAATGTAACGACTGTAAAGGAAAATTTAAATTTCTTCTGAAAGACAAATTTTCTTTAATTAGTCACCTTGAGCACCTTCGTTCTTCTTCACCTTCAAACTGCATTTTGAATCTTGTTCCAACTGAAAAGTTGTTTTCAGCCAACTTCATGCATCTATCATAAGGGATTATAAATTCAGAAGGACTTGTCCTGCAGAAGATAGATAGGTTTTGACTTAAAGATCAAATAAGAACCATCATTGTGGAACTATTGCAGTTACAACCTAGCATTGTCTTCCGCTCAAGAATTCCTACCCATAGCTTGGTAGTAGCTTACCAAGGACGGTAATATACAGTAAACATGGTTCCAGTAGAAATGGCATGGAAGGCACTGGCAAGTATGCCGTGTTGCATGCTGTGGCCAGATATCACAGATGCTGATGTATTGTTGTGTGGTTTTGTTGCACGGCGGACACCGACATAAAGTTCTCCATTTTCCCCTCTGAAACAAGAACCAATTAATTATTATGAAATATAAATTGAATACGCAACCAACTGAAAATTAGCAAATATTTTGAGAATACTACTAGTGAGACTCAGCTTGTTAAATCCAACATGACTTACTCCCACATTAGTTTCAAAAAGTGTTCAGAATTAGAATTTAGCGTGTGTGAGAGAGAGAGAACCTCAAGAAAATACAAGCATCCCCGGCAACAAGCTTCTTTGCACTTACAAATGTGCTCCAACCACTAGTAAGCAAGTGTCGCCTTGGCTGACCTACATTTTACGTCGGTAAAATAGATAATATATTATATGGTAAACAGATGAGGATGTTATAAAAATCTGAGAATAAGACCTAACATAAGGCTAAGTGCTATAAAGATTATCTGCCAAGTTAAGAGTTCTACATAGTAAAGATAAGAAATGCAAAATTAAAGTTCTTAATGGACCTTCACATAAAAAAAGAAAAAAGAAAAGAAAAGAAAATACTTTAATGGACTATTAGCAGTTTGTACAGATTTTCAATGAGTTCCATTTTGTTTTACCGGAGATTGGAAATGAGAATGTTGTGTTTTGTTAACATATCAATGAGTCTATTCGTTTCTTTTGACACTAATTATTGTATTACTATGATGATGCCTCCATTTAGACTGCCAAATATGGCTATGTCTGATGATGATGTCTCCGTTTACACTACCAAATATGGCTTTGTCTAACAATGATGCTTCCATTCACCCTGCTAAAAATAGCTATGCTGAAAATTAATGCTTATTTATTATCTACATGGTATGCCGAAAAGGCCTCTATGTTTCATCCATGCAATACATCGTAGGTTCAGTTGTGTATATGGAACATGATGACATATAGTTTAGGCTTATGATGCGTTTTTGGTGTTAAAGTGTCCAAGATCAGTTTTGATACCACGATATATGTGGCGGAAGTGCCATTCAAACCCATTCAAGTCTTTTGCCACCAGTTCTTGTGCAGAGGGCTGCTGGGACATGTCCTGCAACCAAGAAATGAATTTGTAAGTGAGACGGGAGGATTATGCAAATAATACCCTTTATTCTTGATGTTTTTGTTGTCGAGAAAGAAGAAGAAAGCATGAAATTAACCAGAGTTAAATAAGGTAAAGCAACGAGATAAGGCTAGATAAGTTTGGTGCAAACATCATGTTATGAGGATTATTAGGAAGTAGGTTAGAAGGGAAATTATAACAAAATACTGACCAAAGGAGGAAAGCATTCATCAGCATTTCGCTTAGGAACAGAGAATCCACCATGTGTGCTTGTATCAGATGGAGTGAGCCTCTTGCTAAAGGAACGTGATTTCCTTTTCCGAGGAGCCAGAGTTAGAGAAGTTCCTTTTTTCGGACTTGACACCTCGTGAGGAGAGGATACAAAGCTCTAGCATATTCAATAAGCAAACACATTATAAGAGAATATAGAATTCACAGCAAGAAAAGGAAAGAGAGAAAAATCAATCAAATAATTAAATTTACGAAGCTCTTGAATGCACAAGTTGGTAGGCAGTAGCATGGCCAAAATAAAAACATATTAGAAGAAAACAAAACAAAAATGCAATGTTTGTCATGTTGATGGCAATCATTAGAAAAAAATCTAAACTAATAAATAAAAGTAGAATTGACAGAAATGACATCATTTTTAACATCTGCTATGCAACAGAATATATGGTAGAATCAATATGGAAGCATTAGAAAATTAAAATAAGGCGAATTCACATGTTTTTCCAAACATTCAGTAAGTAAAAACAAGTTCAAAAACTGAGCAGTTAGGTTCTTCTGAAACAATTTCAAATTGTAGTAGCCAACCTTAACTTCTGGAAGCAAAGTAATTTGTGCAAACACCTCGTCTGTGTGAGCTTCAATCTGAAAATCAAAGTCAATAAGCATGAATACAATCAAAAAATAGTTGTAGACAGATATACTAATAAAGCCTATGCGCTATTCCATCCACATTCCCATTTACACATTGACAAAAACCAAAACATTTAAAAGAGTATTAACTCTTACATAAAGATATGATTTACCTTTAACTGAACATAGACAACCTTGCAGAGAATCTTAGAAGGTATATTGTAGATTGGCATCTCCACTTGGGCATCTTGGTTTGTGTATGCTTCAACCTATACCAAATTCAAATAATAATAAACGGATTTGTATGACAAAACAAATAGATAATTTTTCTATCAAAAATTATCCAGTAAAGATCTGTGATATGTTTCTTTCCTAAAGCTTTAGATGTAAAGTTGCATTAAACACGAGAAACAAATCCATCGAATAATTATTTTACATGAGTGCATCTGGGTTATGTATCAAGTGATGAGGTTATCTTCTGGATCATTATTTCATTTTTGGAACGATTTCAACTAACCGCAATAATTTCTTTCTGGTTGAGCTTGCTAATTTCGACAAAATTCAATAATTACATTTCCAAGAGACATTTAAAGCCCATATTAAATTTTATTTATTTATTTTTGTCAGTTTTCACTAACTTGAATGAACAAAAACTGGAGTACCATAATGCAATAGTGAGATTAGGTACAAAGGAGAAGAACCTGTTCCATATGACCTTGAGGGAAATAGAAAACCCTATCCCCTGCGCGAGGAACATTAACCAGGTGGCCCGCACATTTATGCCAAAGTTCGGAGTACAAATCAACTTTCTGACCTAAAATCCATAACAGAGCAGCATTAACAACACAACCAAAGGGGGAAACAATAAATCAGCCATGTGTGCGTACAGAGACAGAAACAGATGGAGGTATACATCTCAGGGATGAGTGAGAGACTAAGAACCAAAATTAAACTACTAATTTGACTAGGTATTGGGATGAAATAAATAACTATCACAAACTTATATGGGAAACAAACAAATACATAATTATATACACAAACTGTAGAGGGTTTTATAGCTTTGTGAGGTTTGATCTGAAGATTTTAAGCACCCCCAAAAAAAAACACCACCACTGACCGGAAATTTACACTGAATGGAGGAAATATTGACTTAAGTTTTAAACATGGATAAAATGGGGGGTAAAAAAGAAGAAGGAAAGAATCAGAGGATAGAACTCAACAAACAATTTAAAACAAAAAAGAAAAAAAAAAATGAAATCAACAAATTGAGTTTTAAGACGATATAAAGGCAAGAGTTCCCTATTACCCGTGTTCATAAAAGTCTCTGATAAATCTCATTCGGTACCCAAAAAAAAAAAAAAAAAAAAAAGAAGAAGAAGAAGAAGAAGAAGAAATTAATATATATTCATATATGAGGCAATATGAACATTAACAGAAGAAAACGACACCTAAACTTGCCGTCCTGAAATTACTATTTTCTCAAATCAAAAGATCACATAACAATGGAGTTGGAAATTGGTATTTTCACAGTTACTCTCTCCCATAAAATTGATTCCACACAGTGCTGTGAAATTATGAATGCCATTTTTTCACTGCAAAAAATGGGCTCTCCCCCTAAATATTGGCCATTAACTATATATCTGCTATATATTTCCCTATTCTCTTCATGCATAGACCAGAACACTACTTCAATAGTTCACAGTGTGTAAGTAACAGAAATCAGGATTAAAACAACAAGAAGTAATGGTAAAAGAATGATCAAAAGGCCAAAGTGGTCACCTGGGTTGTTAGTTTGGATGTCATCGTTTATGTATCTACTTCTCTCATTGTCCGGTTCAGGGCTCAACTCATCTTCTTCATTATAAAAACCCATTTTTTTTCTCTCCCTCTCTCTCTAGAACAGGTTGATAAAGTGAGAGAATGCAGGAGAATACGAAGAAGATATTGATGATGAGGACCCACGAGAACAGAGAGAAAAAAAGATATAAAAGGACCCTTATGGAATCAGGTGAGTCACACCAGACGCGTTCAATGTGGGACTATGTACCCAGTACCTCCCTTAATTTGCTTCACCACCACCTTCACAAATACATATATGCTGTGTGTGTCTCCCACTATTTATCTAGCCAGTACTCTCTCTCTGGAATTATTTACATTCTCTCTCTTTCTGTCATGAGTGCTAGCCTTTAACGTTTGTCATCATCACATATATCAGAGAGGTGATTGGCCTATTGGGTAATATATGTGATGTATGCTATGTTGATATGTATATAACTATATATATATATGTGTGTATAGGCAAAGGACTAAAGGGTACACTTTTCAGGGCAGCTTCTGCAACGATGAGTCGCTGTGCTGCCTCTTCGACACCGTACCCTCGTCCTGGGAGACACGAGTCTAGCTTTTTAAAGGGTCAGGCGTCTCTTTCTCTAACTCTCTCTCTCCTCTGCTGGCGGTGTTTGCTACTTTGCGCCGATATCTTCTATGCCCCGTTTCTATCACCCCCATTTAATTTCATACACATCGCCGATCCGATTATCCTCTCTCTCTTATGTCGCCTTCTCCGCCCTTTCTATTTTTTTTATTTAATTTTTTTAGTTTATCTTTCATTTGGTTTTGTGAATTTTTAGTGAGACAAAAAAGAAAGGGAAAAAACTAAATGCAAATTATAGAATACTCATTTCAAAAAATATACACCTCCCCTGTTTGTTTCCTTTTTCTATTACATGTGATTTTTATTATTATTCCATTTTAATTTTTAACCCATTTAAAAAGTACAAAAATATATAAATAATAATTTGAAATTTTAGTGAATATTACAATTTTTTTTTTTATAAAAAGCTCTGGCTCATCACTCATACATTCAATTTGTCTGTTTAGGACTAGAACCCACTGTCATGTAAATATATATATATATTACAAGGTAAGAAATGTTAAAAGTTAGATTAGTAAATATAAAAAGTCGAAGTCTGGAACTCCCAACATTCATCGAAGACACTAATTATTGGACTATCAAGACATCTACATGTAAAAAAATATATTACTTGACTACAAAATTCTTTTTTTTTTTTTTTTTTTTTTTTGATGGTAAAACAAACACACACTCTTTTTGCTCTCTTTTTTTTTAAAAAATGAGAAAATTACACCATTAAGTCAAAGACACTTTGATTTAACCACAAAATCTTAAATACTACCGTACATGTCTTCTTTTATTGTGAAGGAGTTGTTTTAAGAAGTTGAATACTTTTACTAATATAACAAAATAAATAATAATAAATAAATAAACTATCCAAGTAGTCTACATGGGCCCGCTACGGACAACATAGTGTAGATCTTAGGAGCTTCACTCTATGATCTATGACTAGTAGTCAGTTGTGGGAGCCTCCTATTGGCCGGTGCAATATTCCAAATTAAATGTTTTCTGTTTTTAACACGTGTTGCCACACAAATATTTTCCTTTAATTTAATCCCCATCTGCCAAGGGAACCAGTGGTGAGTCATTGTGCTCGCATTCACAAAAACAAAAGTAGTTTATATTTGACTACCCATTTTGTAATTATATATAAATAAAAAAATTATCAGTTCTAATCCATTCAAGACTCGACCATCAATCCTTCATGGGTGTAAAGTGTAAACAAAATGGAGGATTTCAATACTTAAAAAATGCAATAAGTTTATCTAATAAGTATTATTAGGTCTTCTAATTTTATTTTTTTTTTTAAATCCCCTTAGATATTTTTGAAAAAAAAATTATTTTGTTAAATTAAGGAAAAATAATGTAATAAATGGCCCCATTATATTAGAAACAATAGAAGAGGAAAATTAGTTTTCATAAAAGATATTAGTGTAAGATGAAGTTCTTAAGAACGATCAATTTTATAATGCAATTTATTTTGTTAAAGATGATACATTATTAGAGATCACATTTTTAAAATTAATAATCATATCACTTAATTTTGTTTCATCTTAATAAGTCCGTCAAATGCATAACCCATAGTGTGAAATATTAATTCCGTCTCTGAGTTCTCCTTTTTTAGAACTGACAATCTTTAACTTTAGTACCTTGCATTATATTTTACTGTTCTAATTGTAAGTTAACGAATTTAATTAATTCTCCTAATTAGCATGACTTTCCTCCATCATGCACGTGATGTTTTTGTTTATACTTGGTACTATTATCATACAGTAACTAACATAACTTGATTTGATTTGTATTGCATAACTATTTATTATGTAATGGACTTATGTATTTTAACATAAAAAATAAAAATAAAAAGTAGTTTTCATTTATTTTTATTGTTTTTATAATAGTACGGAGTATAAAACTAATATGGTTGGTATCAGACAGAGTATGAGCATAACCAAAGCCAAAAGTTGACGGAGAATCGGCGAGGAAATGCGTGGATTTTATAAAGAGAGAAAAAGAGAAACAGACTGGTACAATTTACAGCGGCGAAAACGACACGACACAAATAGGAAGCATTGATGAAAAAGGCGGCTCCGTTCTCGCACGATGGCCTTCTCACCGCCGTTACTTCCGACGTCGAGAGGTGTGTGTTAAATTAAGGGAGAGAGAAAAGAGTGCTTGTCCTTTTGCGTAGAAATTTTAACGCCGTTACTCTTAACTGCTGTTTGAGCGGGCAACATCGCGCCGTCCAGACCAGGCAGCGAGTTGTATGGTCGACACGTGTCTGGACCCCACACCGAGTGTCGCTGCAGAGGTTACAGTGGTTAAAGAATGCGTTACCCGGTGATAACTCGGCTCCATGGTAAATTATAGCCTGTTTTGATGACCCACGCGACGTCTGCTGTGCCCTCCCTGTTTTTCTTTCTTTCTTTCCTCTCCCAGCTGTAGAGTCCGTTACAAATTACAATCTCTCTCCCTAGACTCTATAGGAACATTCTGGGCCATCTTGTAATTATATATGAATAATATTTGCAGTATGTTTGGTTTGGATTTTATTTTTGTCTGGCGGGTTATGGATGAACAATAAAAAAAATGTATTTAATAAAAATTATTTATTATTTTATTTTGTACGGTGTCTAAATATTGTGTAAAATTAGGATTCTTTGCACTTTCGGAAAAAGTATCTTTATCAATCAAATTACACAATCGGCTCATTTTATCCTTAAATGAACTTATTTTATCTTTATAATATGCACCGGTGATACTACCTACTAATTGATACTATTAATGATAAATGACATTATCATAACAAGTGAAAATGATGTCATTAAGTCTAATTACTTGTGATTTGTTTTATACATGTACAACCTATGTCCGGTATGGATCCCTTTTAAACTACTCATAGCAGGTAAATTGAACACGGTACAATTTTTTATGCACAAAAAAACCCTCCTTTAATTGCATGTCTCTCGAAAACACAGGCTTAATTTTGGCACTTTTTGTTCTGTCTTCCTTGTTTCTGACTCCATATACCAGAACGTTCCTGTTATTATAGTTTAAGAATGAATATAAGATTAAAGAATTTGGAAGGGAATGAAAGAAGAACAGGGCATGACTTGTTTCTTTATTGGTAATTTATGCCATGACAAAGAATAGTGGTGATAATGGAGGAGCCAACATTCTTAAAGATGAAGTAATAAAATCCCTTTTTTTTTTTATTTACAATTTCATGGATCAACATTAAATAGAATTGCCCAGGGAGATTTGGATGAGTTGGTAAGAAGAGAGCTTTGGTTATCATTAGGTTAGGGTTTAAGTCTTCCCACCTCCTTTATTACTTTTGACCTTCCTACCTCTTTTATTACTTTCGACTTAACTTGCTGCTTATAATGTGGGGCCGGCGTCGGCAGCCGAAGGGTTTACCTAGTAGTGACAAGTCTAAAGAGCGAATGGTTACAAGGATTCTCACGTCATTATATATATATATATATATAATAGAATTTGTGAGCATCTTGATCCTTACATATGAAGAATGTTAATTGCATTATATTCTAGTTGGACTTATTTTATTTTCACCTGCAAAATCAAATTTTAAATGATTTAAAAAGTAAATATAATATAAAAGGATAAAAAAATATACATAGGTAACACGGGTACAAAATCAAATTAAAAATTGGTTTAAAAATTTAAATATAATAACAAAATATTAGAGTGATGAAGGATAATGATATGACGTGCATTAACTCTTTTTTGTTCCCCGATAATTGTTGTGCATTAAATTTGTAAATATATGAAAACTTTAGTGGTATTTAATTTCTTATTCTCCTGAATAATGTGATGTGAAATTTTTGTTAGTATTGTTTTAAAAAGAAATTGGGTCAAATATTAAATCTCTACAATTTAACAATCTAACTTGTAGATTCAAAATGTATAACTAAAAACAAAATGCATTTAATGTTACAATGACACACCTAAATATTGAACATTTAAATAGTAACATATTAAATTTTAAAAACAACATTTTAACACATGCATTCACAATAATATTTTCCTCATTCTCCCACGTCAAATTACATGCCCTTAAATAACATAACACAACAAATTGATAATTCAAACAATTTAATTAGTTACAAATATCAATCTTAATTTCAAAATATTCTCCAATAATTTATAGCAATGAATCACCTCCAAATATTAAAACACTTATCGAAAAGTATCTGCCTACTTACAAAAAAAAAAAAAAAAAAAAAACAAAAAAAGTGCATGCCTTTACCAAAAAGTATTCCCCTACACTTACCAAAAATAAAAACTAAAAAAAGTACATGCCTTTAGTTCAGTGATTCAGGTATATAAAACAAATAAAAATAAATTCACAGTATATTTTCTTGTATCATATGTCAATAATCCTATAAATTAAACTTTAAAAAGGAGGAAAAACATGTAAATATATATATATATATATTGCATTTATTCTAAAAAGTATGTAGAAATTATACCGTATTTCTATTATCAAACAATATAAAAAAATTTAACAATTATTTCTATAATTATATATTAGTTGAACAAATTGACAATATTAGTGTAAAAAATAAAAATAAAAATAAAATTAATATCGTTCTGTATTTACAGAATTACTCTCCAATAATATACTATTATTTGGAAAAAAAAAAAAAAAAAAAAAAAAACAACAACAACAATATTAGTAGCTTAAAACGAAAGGTAGATGATGATCCTAATATATTGTGGTATTAGGCGATTAACTAAATACGGAGTAGTTTGTAATTTTATCCGATGAGGATAAGGTAGCAGTGAGACTCTGAGAGTGCGCCTGTAAGTAAGAGAGTGGGCACTCTCCTCTTCAACCTCTTTTCCTTACAATTAAATGGCGATCGCCGCCGCAAGCTGCCGGTTCTCTCCTCTCTCTTCCACCGGCACTTCTTGTTATTCTCTCTTAACCAAACGCCACTTCGTCACGTTCCACGGACCTAATCGTTTGGTCGTTACTAAAGCCACCCATCACAGTGAAGCAACACCACGTAAATCTGACGCAGATGTAAACCCTAATCTCTCTATCTTTGCTTTTCTTGTTTTCTTGTTAAATATTTACATCAAATGCACATCTATTTGTTTGATGATAATTTCGCCCTGCTTGTCATGTCTTCTTAAATCGTTTGGTCATTCTTAAAGTATGGTTAAGAAAGCAATTTATTTCTGTTTTTAAGTTATGAAATTTCACGTTTACACGCAAGTGTATACACAATTAGTCTGTATAGAGGCCCTGTTTGTTATAGACTATATTTTCCAGATTAGTTGAAATTGTTATTTATATGAATATTTGTTGGTTGTATCTATTTCCCTAATTATCTATTTGATTGATGATGATTTAGGCCCTATTTGTTATGTTTTGTTAAATCGTTTAGTCATTCCTAAAGTATGGTTACGAAAACAATTTATTCCTGTTCTTGATTGTATGAAATTTCACTTTTACACACAAGTGCACACACTATTAGTCCGCATAGAGGCCCTGTTTGATATATACTATGTGTTTTCCAGATTAGTTGAAATTATTATTTATATGAATATTTGTTGTTTGTAGTATTCTCGTTGCAAAAGATCTTTATTGATTTAATACAGTTTCTAAAGATTCGTTCAGGTTTCTTGTTGTCTAATTTCATTTGCTTAGTTCAAATTTGATGTTGGTTTGTTAAATTCAGAGAAAAGCCATTTCAAAGAAGAATTTTCCTGGAAAAACAAAAGATGAAGGGCACTATTCAAATGCCAATAGCGATAGTGGTAGAAGTAAAACAGGGTCATCTCAACCAACAGCCATAAAATCATTTGGTACACAGAAAAAAGACACCAAGGGATTTTTATTTGACTTAAAGGACCAGCAGGTACGGGGATAGGGAGGGTTTCAATTTGCATTATTTTCTTAATCTTTTATTTATTTATTTTTTTTCTGCTATTATTTTGTGCTGTTTAGCTTAATCAGTTTGAGCTAATGTTATTTTATGTAAGCTACCGTATAAATATATATATATATATATTTTCAGGTTGAAACAGGTAATCTTCAAGATGCAGATTTTCTTAATGCTGTTGTGAAGGTAAATTTATTTATTTTACTTTTTTAAAAGGTATTTTGTTTTTAAAATTTTCAAATTGAACTCTGCTAGGTAGTAGTAATTATATAGCTGGATCTATAACGGGAGTGATTTAAATGGAATGATTCATGCGCGGAGCTCATGCAAATGCTTTGAATTATGCAGTCTTTGTTCTTCAACAGGACTTGATTTATTGCCTTTGACATCTAACAAAGATACACTTATTCAAAATGTTCCCATATGTTCTTCAGAAACTCTCAAGAGTCAAGACTGATTGATTGGATTGTCAGGATCAATCAATCAAAAGCTAATTTGGGTTAATATCTATCTTGTAAATTAGACTGTATTGATTAGAAATCGTGTACTTGTTTATGAGATTTACATTACCCATCTATCATACACTTGACTTACAAATCTTCTAAAAACAAAGTATGCGAACTCATTTACAAGATTATAAGAAAATAGTTAAGTGACGTGTCAAATATATTTTGCAGGCAGTGACTAATGCTGTTCCAGTCTCTCTTGTGGCTCTCTCATACTAATTTTCCTTCTCGTTAACGTTTATTAATTGTAAACTCAACAATCTTGAACTCTATCCTTATACATGGCAATAATTTGTAGAATTCCATTTTTTTTTGTTTCGTATCAAATTTACTTTTAATATGTTGTTAATAATTTTTTCTTCATTTTTTTTCTAGGTTTACTGTACACACACCGCGCCTGATTATTCACTTCCTTGGCAAAAACAAAGACAATATACAAGCACTGGAAGGCATGTTTTGAGTTCTCACCTATTAGCTGTTCCTGAATAGTGTAAAAAATGATTTCCCTTGGAAACTTAGATCTGCATTTGGTTTGAAATTGCATTCTTTCTATTTCTTATGCCCTAAATTTAATTGGACATTCATCCTTAGAGGATATTTGACTAGATTTAAAAAATTTCAATGCAGTGCTTTTATGATCGGGGAAGGGAAGCTTTTGACGAATGCACATTGTGTGGAACATGATACACAGGTGATCTTTTTAAATTGTCGGATCTATAGGTATTCAAACCTTAAAATTTTATGAATTTCTCTGCCTATCCTCTATTGGCTGCATTTCTATCAACTGATTTGAAATGAAAATCACCTGAATAGTAAGGTTTTGGTACATGCAAGAGATAAGTATCTCATTGGGTAATGGAACAAATTTTGATTATTTGTCACTAACTTTCTAGATTATTATAGGGGTTTTGAGTATGAGAGCAGCCACTTTGTGCATAATTAGGTATGTTTTAAGTTTTGGCCTTCTAGCACCTTGCAATGGTGGCAAGATACATACTGGGTATTGCACTAATAAAAGGGTTAAGATTATTATAATAGTATGAAAAAATTTGCTTAATTGAGTGATATTATATTGCTGGCTGATTTTAAGTGTTAAGTTTCTATTTAGTTAGGACCAAGAACTGTATGTCTTCTTCCCTGGACATCTTTTTATCAGAATCAGGGGCAGTTTCTAAAATTGGAAAGTGTTTGGTTACAATGTAAGTTCTGATGTTTTAATGGCACTCCAAAATGGGGAAAGCATGTGGGTCTGGGGCTGATTATTTTGATACTGCAAGAATCAGAAGTTTGCACTGTATCTATTAATTATAAATTCTGGATTACAGTGAGGAGTAAATAATATTTAGCGTAATAGATGTATTTTGTGTGAGTTTAATTGGCTTGTTTGGCTACTTGTGAGGAACTAAAGTAATTTGTGATAAGATGTAGCTTTAAACATGTTTGAAGTTCGTTTAAACATACAGGTCTCATTCCATTAAATCCCCTTATTGGTACTTTTTTTACATATAAAAATATGCTTTAGTGTTTAGAGTATCGTATACATAAATTTGGCTCTCATATTATATGTACCCGTTATAATAATACAGAGTCTTCTAAATATATCTTGTTTATTGGACACACAATTGTAAGCTTATTTACAATGGTAGGGTCACTATATGTTATCCTGCTTTCTTTACTTCCATCATGTGCTCTAATCTTACTTTGCTGACAAGGATACCCTATGCTTGGTGCTGGAAGGTTAGAGTCGTATTTGCTAATTACGCATGTTACGTTGCAAATATTATTACTCTTAAATGAGTGTTTGCATACAGACATGTGAATAAGCTAGCCTGTTGTACTTGTCTGTGTGAGATGTTAAATTGAAACCTTGACTCTACAAAAAAACCTGGGTTCCCTATGTTGACGTAAAGAAATTATTACTTGTTATGCTATTTTTTCTATGAAAAAACTTTTTTTTTTTGGGATAAGTTATGAAAAAACTTTGTCTAGTACACAATGTGATAGCAAGGTAAACTATAAAAGGGTTAAAAGAAAATTAGTATCTCCTGGTTACTAACTGATATCTAATATCTAATCTACCTTTTTTCTATTTTTCCTAACTTAGAATGAAAGGAGGAGAAGGCATGCCTATATTTTATTGGATTTGTATCTTTCTACCTGCTCCCCCCCTTTTTTTAGGCTCCTGGTTGATGCCATCTTTTTTAAAATTCTTCTCTGTGTGTGTGTGCCCGTTTGCACGTGCATTCATCTGCATTTTTGCTGTTTTCCAACAATTGAAAATAACTAAGATGAACTTTTAACTTTGCACCATTGACTATGCTGTTGTATCAATTATATGAACTTGTCAATTTGAATATAAATCATGGTACCATGTATGGGGTTTTTCTTTTCTTCTCTATATTTAGTTTGTTTAAGTGGCTGCAAGATAATTCGTTCCTGTTATGTTCTAATCACATGATGACATGATGTACATGCCAAGGTGCTGAGCTCAATTACGTTATTCATCTCATTTGACTTTGGGTACAGGTCAAAGTGAAGAGAAGGGGAGATGATACCAAATATGTGGCTAAGGTATCACTTTTATAGACATAATTGTTTTTGCTTTCTTGTTATGTTCCTTTATCGTTTTAACAATGTTATATATTGATAAGTTTTGGAGTGTTTGATGTCCTATGGAGTTAGTTTGGTTCATTTTGTTCTTTAGAATATTTAAAGCTGGTAAAGGCATATAATCAACCCGTTGTAAATGGAGTAATCATGAAAATATATTAGTAGCAATAAATGATACTAGGAATTTAATAAACCACCATTTCTATGGGACCTTATAGATGATCATATACGTTCAATGTTGTAGATAATTTTCATTTTCCTTGATGCAGGGTAACACTATGCTTCTGTGAGCACACGCACAGACTCTTGTATTAGGACATCATGTTTTGTGCCCGCCTGCATACTAAAACTTGACTTGCAAATAATTATCTTGATAACATCTGGCTTATATAATTGTTTTTCATGACGGCCTTGATGTTGTTTCCTCAGTGCTAATTTAAGTGCTTTTACCACCAAGGGCTGTGGCCTAGCAGTACTTCCTCACCGTCCAGAGGAGGATGAGAGTTCCTAGTCTCTGTAGGGGCAAACTGGGTGTGTGTGTCTCAACTAGGAAATAAAAAATTAAATGCTTTTTAGTTGCTCCTCATTTGGTTTATTTACTTGTTTTACAAGAACTATAACATGCTTGCAATATCAAGAATTCGTAGTTTCACATTTCACACTGGTAAAAACAAGAAGATGGTATTTGATGTTTAATTTTATTATTTATTATTATTTGTGTTTGCCGACTTATCAAATTTTTTTTTTTAATTCTCAAATCATTTAATTTTCAAATAAGTAAGTTGCAGCTTACTTTTCTCTCAGTGATCTAATATACAGGTTTTAGCTAGAGGTGTTGAGTGCGACATAGCTCTGCTTGCGGTAGAAAGCAAGGAATTCTGGAAAGGAGCTGGGCCTCTCCATTTTGGACGTTTGCCTCGTCTTCAGGTTGATAATTATTCCTACCTGAGGAATAGTTTTAGTTTCCATCTAGTATGTAGACTGAAATATATATAATGACACAAAAACTTACACTATGAGAATGGCACAGGTTTTTTTTTTTTTTTTTTGATTAGTTGAATAACACAAATATTATATGTGCTGATTGCTTTAGAAACTCCTTGAGGGCCTTGGATATTTCTCCTGATAAGTATGAATTGCATTGTTCATGGTTATAAAAACAATTTCTTTAAAGCACTCGAAATATTGCATAATCATGTGGATATATATTTACACACACACACACATATATGATAATTATGTCTGTAACTAACACCTAACATACATACTTTATATGTCTATTCATATTAGGTTTGTGTTTTTATTAGATTTGGATGTTTGCCTTGTCTTCAGGTTGATAATTATTCCTACCTGAGGAATAGTTTTAGTTTCCATCTAGTATGTAGACTGAAATATATATAATGACACAAAAACTTACACTATGAGAATGACACAGGTTTTTTTTTTTTTTTTTTTTTTTTGATTAGTTGAATAACACAAATATTATATGTGCTGATTGCTTTAGCAACTCCTTGAGGGCCTTGGATATTTCTCCTGATAAGTATGAATTGCATTGTTCATGGTTATAAAAACAATTTCTTTAAAGCACTCGAAATATTGCATAATCATGTGGATATATATATACACACACACACACATATATGATAATTATTTCTGTAACTAACACCTAACATACATGCTTTATATGTCTATTCATATTAGGTTTGTGTTTTTATTAGATTTGGGTTTGCAGTTCATGAGTTCATAATATCTTGATCCTTCACAACTTCATTATATTGGATAAGACAGCAAACAATTCACTTTGGTTTTTAAAATACCGGCAAGAACTGTACCATCATTCACTAAAAGCGAGGCGCACTTATCCAATGCACCTACCTGCCCTAAACCTAGCGTTTTGAATTCAAATAGCTTTTTCACTCTTATTGATATGCTTATTTGCAATAAATAACTTAGATAAAGGGAAATGAGGATACCTATGGCCAATGATCCTATCATTTGTAGAATACCCATCCCTTTGGTCGATCTGTCTTGAACATCTCCTACTGGTTCGTGAAACCTCTGCTGACTGAGTCTATGTACCTTAGAAAATGCAACTAATGTAGCATAATAGGGAGTCCTGTAGGGATCCCATGCAAATATAGTCAGTCATCTTACTCATTCTTATTTCATCTTATCATTCCTTTTGTCTTAAGATATTATAGAGGCAGAAGTAAGTGTTCCTGCAAGATACCTGAAGTATAATGAAAATTATGTTTTTTCGAAATATTTCTTAATAAAACACCTTTTACAATATTTTCTAATATAGCTAAAAAATGTTTCAGTTGAAATATTTTTCTATTTGTTGTTGTATTAGAAATCCCTCTACTGCCTATATAAGTGACATTTATTGCCAGTTCCATTATAATGATTACATTTCTATTCTTCTGACAGTATAAATTTTTACATACAATAAAGAATGAGAATACACGAGTAATGAAAATATTTTTTGAAGAATGCTAACGTAAGTAATTATTGCAATGAAGTTTTAAATAGAACACCGAGAGAGCTTAACTAATGACTTCCTGCTTTAAGGCCTAGGGAGGGAACATTAGATCTCCATACTTTGAGACTTTTGGTATCTCTATTTCATTAATTTAGTAAGTTCAAAATTTTTCCTAGGCCTTGGCTCACTAAGAGGCCAAGGGGGGACTGTGCCTTGCCTAGTTCTTGAACGTTCTGTTATATGTTTCACTGATTATTTTGTTATTCACTCTCTGTTGTGTATATTCTTGTTTGTCCTGCTCCAGTGGCTTTATTCCACAAGATATTTCCTGATCTGCTTGTCTTATAATTTGTGGGAACTTTTAGTTGAGAAAAATTCATAATAAATTGGAAAACTAGTGTAATTAAGGCTCTGTTTGTTTCGACGTAAAATATTTTTTTTGAAAAATATTTTTCTTTTTCAGGTAAAATATATTTTTTTTATTTTTACTTTGTCGGTATTTGGCAAATGTCTATGTCGAGGTTGAAGTCGAGTCCATCAGGCAAGGCATGTAAAATAACTTGCCGAAAATTGATGAATAAATTATTTTTATTAAATTTTAATATTTTTTTTCTTTGTAAATATTTTACAACAACCAAACACCAGAAAATAAAAAAATATTTCCTGAAAAATATTTTACGTCCAAACAAAAGGAGCCTAAGTAATGTAAAAATTCACTATTCTGGTGCAATAAACATGTGTTAGGTGAAAACATTTTAATCTGGTTCTTTGGATGGGCAGGATGCAGTGACAGTTGTGGGATATCCCCTTGGAGGTGACACCATTTCAGTGACTAAGGGAGTGGTATCGCGAATAGAGGTTTGGTCTGCTCCATGGGACTTTTGAATTTTGTGAGACTTAATAAATTTCTGCCGTTCCTGGGATCAGCATTGTGACCCCCCCTTTTCCTACTTTTCTCTGCCTGAAATGCCTCGATGTTTTACTAAATTATTAATTTTGATAAGTAGCTTGATGTTATATTATTGCCATTTGAGAATGCGGTAATTCTATTTTCTTGTCATGTATTTATGCTATATTTTTTATTCCCTCGCATTATCTTCTTTTTTTTTTTTTTTTCATGGAACCAGGCGATGATGGTGTTGGGTTGATTGTTGTGAAACGATGATAGTTTATCATGTCTTAGTTAAGAAATGGAGAAGTTAGAGAAGCTCCCTTCTGATTCATCCCCACTACTCCCAAAAGAAGGAAAGAAAAACAAAAGAACAACGAGAGTATAAATTAGAAATAGTTATCAAGGAATTATCTTGAATTAGAATAAATGAAACAGCTAGATGCATAACAATAGAGATGATAAAAATAAAAGATACATTCTACTTAAAATTTTCTGAAAAATATAATCTTAGAAACTAGAAAGCGACCATTTGTTATTTCATAAACTAATATTTGGAATTTCAAAATCCTTGGTTAGTTCAGAATAATCTGTTTGTTTTAGCAGCAATTTGTCTTTCTAATAATGTGAATGCTATATTTCAATGGTAATCTGTAAATTTAAAACTGAGGTTCACTTTAGGGGAACAACAAGGAAATATGTTACTCATATGAAATTGTTCATTGTAGTTTTATGCATGGTCAATGTTGTACTTCCAATCTTAGAATTAGTCATGTCAAGATTGATTAACTCTTTGGACAAATTTATGTACACATTGAGTTTATGTCATTTGTGGGTGGTTTCTGTTGTTTCTCAAATAATTTTCCACAACATCCCTTGTCACAAATTATTTGGATCCTGAAATTTTTCTTTGCATCTAAATGTTTTTGAAGAAACATATCAAGTTCCTCACTAGTTCTTTATCATTAGGTTACATCATATGCTCATGGATCATCCGAGTTGCTCGGCATTCAAATTGATGCAGCAATAAATCCTGGTTAGTGAATGTCTAACAACTATATCTTCATTACTTCTAAAAGAAACTTCTCTGATATTATTTTTTCAAGCATGACCTAAATTTAAAACTTTGCTTATTTTATGTTGTCCTATTATCACTATATATTTTAATGTTATATTATCTTCATTGCTTTATCCACTGCTTATACTAGCTAGATTTTAGGTAATAGTGGTGGTCCTGCATTCAATGACCAAGGAGAGTGCATTGGGTTGGCATTTCAGGTAGTTCTATGTCAAAGTTGATATTCATTATTTAGAATTTTCACACTTGTTACCTCAGACTAGTTGAAACATTCTTGTTAAGGTCATAGTTTAACAACAGTGATGTTTATTCTTTTTATCTCATAGTTTCATTTCTTGCTCACTTAAGGATTTATCGTAATAGTAATATGTTTTTTCTTTATTATGTTTTCACATGACACTTCCTTTAGGTTTACAGATCTGAAGAGGCTGAGAATATTGGATATGTAATTCCAACTACAGTTGTATCTCATTTTTTGAATGACTACGATAGGAATGGGAAGTACACTGGTGAGAAATTCTTCTTTAATTCAGTAATGTGTGCAGGGTATTTTATGCTCGTGAACTATTTCATGTATGAATTGGCCTTGATAAATGTACACATTGTTCTATACAAATGATGATGGTGATAGAATAATTATAGTGCTTCAAGGATAGAAAGCTGAATTAGACCTCTAATCACGAGTCATGGAGGATATAACCTTGATTATGATAATTTATTGCACATGACTTCTCAACGCTCTTTGTTATGTCAATTTAAATGAAAATATTTACCAAAAAATTCTTAAAAAATAAGTAACTTCTTTGTAAAAAATTCTACAACAAAATCTGCAGAACACTTTTTATGTTCTATTTACAAGATTTATAGGTCCACTGTTAGTGAGATGTCTTGTTTCTTCTTCTGTACTGGTCCTTCGTTTATATGTCAAAGTGTTTTGGTCTGATTACTAAAGTGTTAAAAAATGATGTGGTTCCCCTTGTTTTTTCCTTTCTTTCTTTTAAAAGTATGAATGGGATGTTGTATTATTTATTATTATATTCATATCCCTCCGCCCTCCACCACCCCCCCACAAAAAAAAAAAAAAAAAAACAATTTGTTCACATTCTTGTTGAAGATGTTATCTGCTGATACTGATGTTTCTTTAATCTTGTGCTTCACACATGCAATGTTTCTTAAATCTTGTGCTTCATACATGCACACACGTACCCCACTTTTTTGGGATTGGGTTGGCACTTTGATGATAACACCTTCAAAACATGTTGGCTCATCTCACTCTTCCTGATGTTTTCTTGCATTAGATTTCGGCACTTATTTTTCGTTTTTATTTGTTACACTTTCACTGACTCACTAACAAGATCTAAATTTGGTTTTTAACATAATCTTGCTGTTGATATGAAATTATCTCAAATAATTATTTATGCATAAATCTCCAGGTTTCCCTTGCCTTGGTGTGTTGTTACAGAAATTAGAGAATCCAGCTCTACGTGCCTGCTTAAAAGTTTCCTCTAATGAGGTATGTGTCTATCTAGTTAGAAGCAAAATGGTCATTATATATATATATATATATATTTTGTTACAGCATGCTATCTATCATGGATTTCTATTGTTTGCAATCTGTATTTTTGGCATCATTTGTATTTCAAATTATGGGTACGTCATTTGTACACTTGGTGTAATTTCAATTCTTTTGTTAGTTGCCATGGTACATGTTTTGGTTGGGAGTGACAGTATTTGCTAGTGGGTTGAGGGTGGATGTTTGGAAGGAAAAGGTAGGAGGAGTTGGACATGGGAGAAAGAGTGGAAAACTGGGGAAAGAGGTTATGGAAATAGAGAGTAGGAACTGGTGACGGGAGGTGGTAATGGCCCAGAGGAAGACATTCGGCCAAGAGGAGATCCAAAATGACAATTTATCATAATAGAGAGGAACAGTAAGTTGTAAACTGTCCAATTTGATGTACTCTGATAGTCATGTTTTAACTTGTGAACTATCCAATTTGATGTACTTTGATAGTCATGTCTTAAGAACCTTCTAAACCCAGTATTGAAATGTATCATGGTTCAAGTCCTAGATCAAGTGATGGCCTTTCATATGTGCTTGCCTGCTGGTTATTCCTGCAGGCTTTCCTCAGGATTAAGAAATTTATTTATATATATAAATTTCTCAATAATGGAGTTTCAGTTGCGTGCTGAAAATTGTGCAGCGTTGGATGGGTTCTTAGAGAGTGGAGGTGCTATGTTCCTATAACAATTGTGAACCTTAAGGTGTGATTGGATTCAAGTTGAAGCAAATACAAGGGAGATATTCCAAAAAAACAGCAGTTATGGATTGAGGCGGTGAATATTATTAACTTACTAGGAATATGTGGATTTAGATCTGTCGACAAAAAGAACAATTTGTTATTAACCCTAAGTAGTTGAGATTTAAGTGGAATGATTCATTGTCATCATCATCATCATCCTTGCTTTGTCCAATAAGGATGGGGTCAGTAAATTTTTATGTTATTGTATGTGTATATTTTTATAATGTGAAGCATCAATTATTCCGTTTCCCTTGAGTAAGTTTAGACTGCCTTAGTTATTGTATAGCTCTCTCACTGTAAACTCAACATGAATTTTCTCTACTACTACTTGCTTGTGAACTTGGGTTCCATTCTAATTCTCACTCAAAATTCCCCACAATATCTGGTTTCTGCAGGGTGTACTTGTGCGGAGAGTTGAGCCCACTTCTGACTCCAGTAATGTCTTGAAGGAGGTATGCTGCCTTTAAGAGTTTACTTGGACATTCTTAATATGCATCTATATTTGTTAAATGTGATCATGGGTGGGTAGGATTGCACTATTTTATTGCAATTCATAGGTCAATGGATCTCAAGATCATAACATCTCAAGTAGTGGGCACTCTGTCTATATTCTTTTCATTTTTGTTCTTTCTTCCATAGGACCCATAAAAGAAAATAGAAAAATAAGAAGAAAAGGGTATTTCATTCATTGTTAAGATTGGTGGGATCCTTGTTTGGTGTTCATCTAATTTTTATTTCTCACACTAAAATTAGTAATTGAATAGTAGTACTTGGCAAGACTAGCAAGATCCTTTTTTTTTTTGGATAAATAAGACTGGCGAGATCTTCATTGACCTTTTTTGTTCTTTCCTATTCCTTTCTTAGTGCAATTTGAATGAATAGCTCGAAGTCCAAATTAGTAAATGAAGTTGCAGAAATTGGTGTCAGCAAAGAAAATGATTGAATTTAAGGAAGTTTGGGTAATTATGTTAAATTTGTTGTGTTTATACACTTGTACAAGAGATTATTTCCATTTTAGTCTATGCTTCCAAGAAACTAGTGATACTGGGATGAGAAGCAATCAAAAAACCAGAAGTGAAAATTTAAACTTTGATGAAAAAAAAATTGATGGTTCAGAACCTTGGAATGAGAGGAGCGTCAGGTATTTTATTTGTCAATAAAAAAGAATTGACAAAAATAAAAGGTTTAAACTTTCACCAATTAAAACCTACGTTACGTAGACTTGGTCACTTGGATACATGCATCGGGTGTGGGTAGGTGTCACCCAAATTCCTCCAAGCATTGTAATGTGGCTACTAAGCTATTTCTTTTGTAAGCTCATACTGAGATGGGAATTTCTCTTGAATCCCAAATCTTGGGGTACAAGGAGTAGGAAATGCATCCCAAGTTGAAGACAGGTACATAGACATGTCTTGTTCACTTCAAAACAAAATATGCAACATTTAAGTTAAACAGAATGTGATGTAAAAAAGAGTGGTATCATCTATCTCAAAGATAAGAAGAAACTGTTTTTTGCTATCAAATTTGAGCTTTCTACTTTTCTCATCATCACAATTAGAGAATCCAAGTGTTCAATTTGGTTCTTGTGTCGAAAATAGATCCATATTGTGACCAATGCCGTGTTAACATGGATACGTTGAGCACATTGCACAGGTTAAAACATGAAATTTCTGTTAAACAGGGAACTGTAACTAGTGGAACTATGCAAAAAAGAAAAAAAGAAAAAAAGAAAAAAAAAATGATATCATGCTTGTCATGCATGCGGAATATCAAGTTGATTGGTTACAGATGGCTCTATCCATCGTTGCATCACATTCTTTAAGATAATTTAGAAATAAGAGGTTAATTGGTAGTGCAATATAACTCCCATGTGCGACGAGCACGGTAGGAGTTTCTAATCCAATGACAAACTTAACCGATGAAGAGTCCCACAAAAAGTTGCATGAGTGTTGAGAATTGTGTTAATTGATGCCTAATTGCTGATATATATGTGTGGTGAGCCTCTTGTAGTATTCTTGTTTGGATTTTGCTATTCTTTTAATTCCCTACCAAATAAATATGATACAAATTTCTTGGGTTTCTGACATTTCGTCAGATTAACATTGTGGGAATAAAGTAATACTTGTAAATTTCATACTTTTTCAGGGGGATGTGATTGTAAGCTTTGATGGTGTTCGTGTAGGGAGTGAAGGAACAGTGCCATTCAGATCAACTGAGCGCATAGCATTTCGCTACCTCATTAGTGAAAAGTAAAGTGTTTTTATTCTCTCTTAAGAAATTGAATTTGTCAGTTCATTTTAGTGGCCATGCATAGTAATACATTTAACAAGTCCTTATAACTAATATATAAGAAGTGGAATACTTTGTAATGACACATATTTCTTTAATGGCAATTCACTTTGGTATAGAATGAACGATACTGTTGTACTCCTTCACTCTAGCTTTCCTACTCTTACACACCAGTTTATAGGGATATGTCAATATGATTTATGGACTGAAACCATGTTTATTATACTCATATACTATTGCACAACATACTCTACTTAAGTTAAAGAGGATTATGTCTTGTTGGGCCAATTGGGGTAGCCCAACAGTATTGTATGTTTTTCTGGTTGAGACATGTTTTTACATATATCAGTGATGCTAGTTTTCGGCTTTGATCTAAGGATATTCTAGTTCAGGTTTGCAGGTGATGTAGCGGAGCTTGGTATTATTAGAGCTGGAGCTTTCATGAAAGTTAAAGCAGTTTTGAATCCACGTGTGTATTTGGTATGTAAAGAGAAACTTGGCTTTCTAATGATGTGAACTTTGATACCTTGATAACGTGAATTTTGTTTAGTGTTGATTAACTTGGGTTCCTACTGCTCTCACCTCAAGGTTCCCTATCACATTGATGGAGCTCAACCTTCGTATTTAATAGTTGCTGGCTTGGTATTTACACCACTTTCGGAGCCACTCATAGAGTACGTTTTATGAGATTTTTGTCACCTATCAATATGACAATTACATCTCTCAGATTTTATATTTTTGTTTTTTTGTTTGTTTTCTTGGAAACTAATGTTATTACCGAGCTAATTGAATTCAATTATTTTGACAGTGAGGAGTGTGAAGACACCATAGGGGTAAGTTGTTTAAATAACCAATGACACCTTCTAGATATTAGAATATTATTACTAATCTGATGTTCATCAACCCAATCACTTTGTTTCTTTCTTTATCTAATTAGTTGTTTCTCTCTTTTGAGTTAGTTGAAATTGTTGGCAAAAGCACGTTACTCTTTGGCAAGATTTAAAGGGGAGCAGATTGTGATCCTATCGCAGGTAATGGTGTGCTTTTTCACTAAACAATATTCACAATATGCCAGATATATGATGGCCCTGGTTAGCTTGTTAATCCTCTTGCACATGCAGCTTCTTTCACACAACGCCTTGTTTTGTTTTCCTCTCTTTCTGTCTCTCTTTCTGAAAGTTGAATTCTGAACTCTATTATAATTGGAGACAGCTAATCTCTTTCTTCCATTGCAAGGTCTTGGCAAATGAAGTAAACATTGGATATGAGGATATGGGCAATCAGCAGGCAAGTTGTTTCTTACCACTTCATATCCAGAATGCTTTTGCCAATTCACACACTCTCTCTCAAAATAAAGATTATGCAGGTTTTGAAGTTCAATGGGACGCAAATAAAAAACATTCATCACCTAGCTCACCTGGTTGATTGTAAGTGCTGGCATCTCTTTCATCTTTACCACTCTTTCCCTACCTTAGTCCTGACAATCGTCTTGCTTTGCTCAGCATGCAAGGACAAGTATCTGGTTTTCGAATTCGAAGACAATTACCTTGCTGTTTTGGAAAGGGAGGCAGCAGTAGCTGCCTCATCCTGCATTCTCAAAGATTATGGAATTCCATCTGAAAGATCTTCTGATCTTTTGGAGCCATATGTGGATTATAATGGAGACAACCAAGCAATAGATGAAAAGGATGATTTTGGGGACAGTCCGGTTTCAAATCATGAATTTGGATTTGATGGGCTTCTTTGGGCGTAGTCACTGTTTGTTGAAAACTCGTCCCTGAATTCTCTTTGCTATCATTCTTGAGGGAGCTTTTCCAGGCCAGTAAAATCTACTAAACCATAGCAAGCTTCTTTTAGCTGTAACTTGGCATTTTTTAATTTTGTCAACATTAAATTTTCTGTATCCATTCATTATTATTTGGGGAGAGCACACATGTAAGTAGTTGTAGCCGGCATTAGTAAAGATTAATGTATTTTTTTTTCTGCTTCAAAAACAAAATAATGTTCAATTTCTTCTTTTTGATAATTCAATTTAAATAGCATTAGAAAAAAAAACCTCAATCTTCTGATGTAATTTCCAGTTGAAGATCTGCTATGATTTTGAGGTATGTTCTCCCTTTTCGCTTTCAGGTTGGCATATGTTGGCATAAACCTTTCTGGTAATGTGAAACCTTGATCTTTTAATAAATGGATTTATGATCAAGTAATCTTATCTAGAAATTTTAGCTGAAAAAGAAAAGAAAAAATATCAAACTTATTTTTGTGACAAAAAATCTTCTTGAAAATATTTTTTTTAGATTTTGGTGTTTGGTTATTTGCAGTAAAACTTAACAAAAATAATTTACCCATTAATTTTGGACATGTTATTTTATATGCCGCGTCCAATGAACTCGACCTTGAGTGTGCTTAGTAGGCTTGAATCTGACCTGGACTATCGGGATTTGTATTTCAGTACATCAATTCACTTTTTGTATAAAAAGAAATTAATTTTTAGATTTTTGTTATGGTGTTTAGGTCAGGTTAGGAAAAAGGGCCTATACATCGAATTGTTCTCAGATTAGTTTTCGGGTTGTTACACCTAATAAATAAAGTAAATTTTTAAAAAATTACAAACAAATTCTTACAGAATTAAATATCCAAAACATTAATATTCATTAATTAAAATTTAAAATAAAATGAAGTTGATAAGTAAAGAATGATCATAATTTAGAATATATAAAAGAGTTTGAGTTGAGGTGTGGTGTGGTGTGTTGTGGTTACTAACATTTCAAATTAAACTAAACTCCTATTTAACTTCTATTTAAAAAAAAAAAATTATTTTGGGAGGATTTGTCTTGTATCTTCTTCCATAATATTATTAATTTTATCATTATTGACATTATATGATAAGAGTTGAAAGTTAAAACATAACGTTAACATTTGTTACTGCTAAATTCGTAACAAGCAAGCATTCACTCTAAAACCATAGTACAGTTTTTACAGTCCCATTACAGATCACAACACTAGTACACATTATTTTTTGTAGTGTCTTAAAACTACAACACCATACATAGTAGGATTCAATGCATCATTTGATATTAGGTTATGTGAAATATTCACAGCAATGATTTAATATCATTTGCTATGTTTTGGGCATCCATTGCAGCTCCAAGCAATCCTCTCCCTCCTAATCCCGCGCAATATAAACCATTTTCCCCCTTCCAATGCTTTGGATTTTTGTATTTCGGCATTCCATCATCCTTTAGAACGTAATCGCCTCCCTGTCCAAACCACTCAAATTCATTAGCTACCATCATTTTTTTCTTCTTCTTTTTCTTTTTTTATGTTTGTGTCTTGTGATTTTCTCTTCCTTCTTAATTTATAATATATATATCAAACTTATTATTTGTGTGTAATTTAAATATGAGAATATAATAATATATATGGGATGAGTAGGTTATGCAGTTTTAAAGGTTGCATTATGTACGAGGAAAAATGATTATGATATGTTTGGGCCGCCTGATTTGTAATTTTCAGTATCATATTCTTAAGGTAAACTAGCATTTGACACCCAAGTAAATAGATAGAAATTTTGTAGTCGTGTGGTGGAACCTGGGTTTGGGTGTTATGGTTCACCATTTGAGAGACACATGCATTAGTAAATAGTGGGACCTAGTATTCCTCGTACATTTTGTCTTCTTTCCAGCAAGTCACACTCAATTCAATAAATACATGTCCGTTTTCTCATTTACTTGTCCAGGAACTAGGGTTCCTTGATTACATATTCCAATTACCTTGATTACATATTCCAGGTACCTTGTGTTATGGGTGAATTTTTTTTTTTTTTTAAAAAGAGAGTAATGATAGACAATGATAACCGGCTATATCTGATTAATTTTATATGAATAAAGGTTGATATCATCGTGAAATTAAAGATATTAGTGATATTATGATGATATCAACCATTATTCATATAAATCAGTCGAATTTTTAGACACCAAATCAATTTCCAAATCAAAATAATGTCAATTGAAAAACTGTATACTGTATATTCCGAGAAAGTTTATACTTAGATTTGAATTGGATTATGCGGACAAGATCTTTATATGCTTGAATGTAATTTTTTTTTTCCTTAGAACAAGTGTATCGTTCCCACAAAATTAGGTGGGTAAGCGCAGTATCTAAATGTATAAATAGGTGGATATGCAGTATTATCCAACAGTTTGGGCTTTTAGGTAAATAGATAAGCTTCCATCCGTTACAGTTGCTATCAGAGTCAGACCCAATCCTTGATTAATTCGGTGTCACGCCAAGCACCCAACCCGACCCGAAGACGTTCGAGTGAGCCACCTCGGGTAAATAGGGTGGCCCGACCGCAACGAGAGTGTTGCGAGTTTGAATGTGAAAAAATGTTACAAGAGAATATTTTAGTATGTAATACTATTCAACAGGTTGAATTTTTAGATTAATAGGTAAGCGTCTACTTATTACACTATCTTAATAAAGATTCATATTATGTCTTTGAAGTGGGATTCAAAATTAAAATCCGTTATCTTGGATGTCGAATTAGATCCAATTTCAGCTCAAACAAGCCCCATTCGATTTCACTGATTTGGGGGCTAATATATATATATATATATATATATATATATATATATATATATATGTATCACTGGATTTATGCAATTAAAGCATGAATGAGTCAGGACGGAGTCCCAACAAGTTCCATAACTACGTCAATAATTACATGTGACGTTAACTAGTAAAAATTTTGTAAGTTGGCGATCGACAAGAGAAAGTGTACAACATCTTGAAATACGTTGACACATGATATCTCTTTAAATAAATACTCTCTATTTATTTCTGTTTTATTAATGAAGGTATAGAGCATTGGTGGGAACTGGAAGATGTATCATATTACACTAACCTGAATTTAATGATAACTTCCCTAGTTATAGCCACATTAATTTAATGAAACACTGACCTGAATTTAATGATAACTTTCCCTAGTTATACCCATATATATATATATATATATATATATATATATATATATTAATTTAATGATACACTGACCCGAATATGGCCGGACTTGATCTTATTACAGGTTCCAACGTCGATAACAGGGTACTTTCCATGATTTGCTTTCAAAAAGAAGGGTCCATATTTGGGTCTTCTAATCCCATACTCGCTCAAGTCTCCGTACTTTAGCTTGCTCAGCATCACCAACAAGAAGTCCACCATTTTATATGGAATATATTTCGATAGAACCAATCCCAACTGTATCATTCCCCTTGAGAATATATTCACCTGCGTTACGCCAATTATTATTTTTATCATATATATAAACCATAAGGTGAAATATATATACCCAAACACGTATCACATATGTGTTAGATATAACCCCAAAGGGTTAGTGAAGCCCTAGGACTTGATGTCTCAAGTTTCATGTTTGAATCCTCTTAAGTGCGATCAATTCATTAGGGTCACGACCGTAGATATAGTCCGAACCATATGCGATTCATGCGAAAGTTATCAATATATATATATATATATATATATATATATATGTGTGTGTATGTGTGTGTGTGTGTGTTTGATATATGTGTATATACATATATGAGTAACTCCACCGTTATCTACAAATGTGCAAAAACACCACTTTTGGTATTAAAAAAACTTTCTGCAATTTTTTTTCCCGGGAAGATAAATCCCAACATTTTCTAAATTTAGCAAATAAAGATATTTTTTCAATTTGAAGCCTAAAATGCCCTTAAAGTAAAATAATATAAAAAGCACTTATTTACACGTATTAATAAGGATATTTTTGGATTTTTATGAAGAAAAAAACAAATTGGTTTTGAAAAAAAGGGAGTGGGGAAGGAATTTGAGCAGGGCGTGGCAAAAGTTAAAAAAAATATTAAAAAAAATAAAAAGAGCAAAAGATGGATGAAACAAATGAAATGATATAATATGATATTACCGGGTTTCGGATGACAATAGAGGTGCTGACACCATAATTTGAGAGATCAAGTGCAATCTCCATACCAGAATTTCCACACCCAACAACCAAAACATTTGAATTGTGACTCTAATTTTTCCCGGACTTGTATTGAGTTGAGTGGATAACCTCTCCCTTGAAACTACTTAAACCTTCAACTTCCGGAAAAAATGAATCACAAGTCTCTCCGGTCGCCACCACCAGAAACCGACCGGAATAATACTCCTCCTCCTCAGTAGATGAGTTGACATTAACGTTAATATTCCTTGCCTGAACTCTCCATGTTTGAGTAACCTCATCATAGCTTGCAAACTCAACTAGTCTTTGATACATAGGAGTGATCTTAAAATGGGAGACATAGTCATCCACGTATTGAATGAACTGCTCCTTTGTTGCATACGTGGGACAAGTGGTTGGAAATGACATGTGAGGGAGCTCACAGAATTTCTTGGCCAAGTGAAGATGAAGGCGATCATATGTTTTCTTCTTCCACAATGAAGCAATACAATCTTCTCTTTCTAGGACGACGTTCGGAATCGAAAGCTGGTTTAGGCAAGCGGCCACGGAGAGGCCGGAGGGCCCGGCTCATTAGTTTTAATTACAAAATGACCTATAATTTATAAAAGTTTTCAAAATACCCCTCCTGAAATAATTTATTTTAAAAAAATGGCCATTAATTTTTATTACACATAGGTCAATAATTTATAAAAACTTAAAAAATGCCCCCTGAAATAATTATTTACCCTTGAGCCAATTAATTTTTATTGCAAATAGGCCTTTAATTTATAAAATTTTACAAAAATACCTACTAAAATAATTATTTTTAAAAATATCTTTAATTTTTCCTTTCTTTTCATTCTTACTCCTCATCTTCCTCTTCTTTATATTCTCTTTAAAAAAAAAGCTGCATTCCTTTATTCAAACTATTCTTTTTTTCTCTTCAAAGTTTGGTAATTAAATTTGTTGCCTTAAGGTCGATATTTTTATGTTCCTATTTTTTTCAAATAATTAAATACTATTATTCCACCATTAGTACAGTTTTATTTTTGATTTATTGTTTTGCATCACTTTTTACTTAAAAAAATATAATTTATCATCTTTAATATGGAGCCCCTTGAAACAAATTTTTGCCTCCACCCCTTACTGTTTCTGCACCCATTTATTTTCTATGATCACTTCACATGGTGCTGTCTGTCACAAACTAAATCAAGAGAGCTATTATTGAAACCATGCATGGACACATCACATGTCATCTAAAATGATACAAGTCGGTTATTACATTGACTTCCTGCGACTTTTTTGTGTGGTCAGAAAAATTATATATATATATATATATATATATATATATATAAATAAATATTTCTAAATAATTATTTTAACCTAAGTCTTCAATCAAAGATTTATGTTAAAGAATGTAATTGTATATCCTCTCTTTTTGTTGGGTTGGATGTAAAAGAGAAGAAATTGATAATTTATTTTGATCTGTAATATAAAAGAAAATAGATAATTTTAAGTTGTTATAATAAGTCCACTTATTTTTTCTCATCTCATTAAATTCATCACTTACTTAATTTGTAAAATTTATTAAATATTTATAAAAAATAATTTAATAATTTAAAATTTTTAAAATAGACTCACTTATTTTCTCTCTTCGTTTTTTGACTTCAATAAAAATTTACAACCAAAAAATATTATAGCTCATTCATTCTATTACCTTTTTTTTCTTTTTTCTTTTTTTCTTATATTATCTCTTTCTATAAGTGGCAAAATTTAAATTAATAAAATAAGACTGAAAGTGACACCCCATTTAAATTGGACTTACATTATTGGTATCGCAGATTCGTACCAAGGGGCCCCACACAACTCGTGGGTCACCAATCACGGTTAAAGAAAGAAAAAGATGGTCATTTTGCTGTCCACCTTGAATATTAGAGAGTTGCGTGTTGGATATAACCAAAATGATGAGGTGGCAAATCCCAAATTGGGCTAAAAACTCAGGATAAGACCCAGCATAAATCTTGGTCATTCAGCCTCGATTCAAATGGGTTTTTTAACCATAGCCCTCCACGCCCAACCATTTTCAGTCTCTCACTAGAGGTTGGGAATTTGAAATCCATTGGACCACCAAAATATTTTTAAATTATTTTCTCGTGCATCTTTCTAATACTACATAGGAAAAAAAAAAATTACCCTAGTCAAATTTCGAATTAAACTCGATCCCTAATAGTATGCTTGGTTTGAGAGAGTGACCGGGGAGGGATGAATGAGAGTAGAGATAAAATTACTCCTTTATATTTGGGTGGAGGGAAGAGGGATAAAGCACCCCTCCATATTGAGTATATGTCTTCATTCTTCTTCAATATTATTATTAATTTTATTATTATTGACATAAGATAAGAGTTTGAAACATAACGTTAATACTTCGTTTGGTTAGAGGGATTAAAAAATTGATAAAAGAAATAGGGGGAGGAATAAATGAGGAATATATACTTACTGTATAAAATAATAAAAGGTAGATATCCCTTTGATTTTATTTATTTATTATTGAAGATTGTATGTGTAGTAATTATTCATTTTCTCTCCCCTCTCTACCCCAAAAATTGGGCAGATAGAAAAACAAGAAGAAAATCTCTCCTTGCTTCCTCCCTCTCTTTCCTTCCTCCAACCAAACACGGTTCATACATCCATCCCTCTGACCAAACATAACATAAAACACATTTATGACATTTTCTAATTCCTAAATAAAAAAATGCGCTTTCACTTTCAAGGGGAACGCATAAACTAAGGTTCAAGTTCAAATTCAAGTGGAACGGATATAAATTAATATTATTAATGGTTCAGTTTTAAATTCATAACATGCATTCACTCCAAAACCATAGTGCACTGTTACACGCCATACAAATTCATGTTATATTTTCACACACACACACACACACACACACATATATATATATCGCAGTACTATGTAATGTTTTAAATATTGCACCACCATACGATTTAATGCATCATTTTTGGAAATCATTGTATCTTGCTATTTATATTAGATTATGTGAAATCACAGCAATGATTTTATATCATTTGCTATGTTTTGGGCATCCATTCCAGCTCGAAAGAATCCTCTCCCTCCAAATCCTGCCCAATACAAACCATTTTCCCCCTTCCAAAGCTTAGAAATTTTTTCTCCCTGTCCAAAGCAGTGAAATTCATTAGGGAACTATTTTTATTTTTGATTTCTTTTTTAATATTTATTTGTTTTGGTTTTCTCTTCCTCCTTTACCCAAAAGATGAAAGAATCTAAATCTGAAACTGAAACTTGTTTTTTCCCAATAAAAAAAGGGTATGATCTGTGATTCTTGTTTACCTTGAGCCACTTATTTGTTGGTCTTTCAAATCCAGTAGCAAAAACAATTGCATCAAACGGATGTGATTTTCCATCTTCAAAACATATATCATTGCCTGTTATTCTTGTTATCCCTGGCAACACCTGCACATACAAAACAACTCAAAAAAGTAGTAGTAAGGTTGTCTATAATAACTAACTTGATTTAGTACTAGATCTAATAGACTAATTCTAAAAACTTTAGGGCCTTGGAAATTTTTTTTTAGAGAATTATAAAATATAAAATTATTTGAAAATAAACCTTTTAATAATCGTGTTTTTAAAAAACAGAATCAAGCAAAGTTTTTGTACACTTTTCTTATTTTTAAATAATTTTGTACAGTTTTTCGATTTCAGTTCTCTCAAAACAGATAGTATGATGCTAATTTATGCAACTCACTAACCTGAATTTCGCGGGACTTGATCTTTTTACAGGTTCCAACATCCATAACAGGGAACTTTCCATGATTTGCTTTCAAAAAGAAAGGTCCATGTTGGGGCCTTCTAATCCCATACTTGGACAAGTCTCCATACATTAGCTTGCTCATCAACACCACCAAGTAGTCCAGTATGTTTATTGGAATATATTTTGCTAAAGCCACCGCTACGTCCATCATTTCCCTTGAGAATATTTGAAGCTGCATTATCCAAGAATGCCCAATATTATAATTTTGATATATATCATATAAACCATAGGGTGAAATATATAAAAACCAAATGCAATTAATTAACATAGAGGTTCTTTGCACTATACTGTTTGTGTAAAAGAAACAAAAGTTTGATACACACACACACACACACATATATATCAAACAAATTAAAAGATGTAATTACCGGGTTTCGGATGACAATAGAGGTCTTGGCACCATAATTTGATAGATCAAATGCAATTTCCATACCAGAATTTCCACACCCAACAACCAAAACATGTTTGTCACTGTAATTCTTCCCGGATTTGTATTGGGTTGAGTGGATAACCTCTCCCTTGAAAGTACCTAAACCGTCAACTTCAGGAATGAATGCATCACAAGTCTCTCCGGTTGCGACCACCAGAAACCTGCCGGAATACTCCTCAATAGAGTTGACAGCAATATTCCTTGCCTGAACTTTCCATGTTTTAGTAACTTCATCATAACTTGCACACTCAACTAATCTTTGGTACATGGGACTAATCTTAAAATGGGAGGCATAGTCATCCAAGTATTGTATGAACTGATTCCTTGTTACGTATTTGGGAAAAGTGGTAGGAAATGACATGTGAGGGAGCTCACAGAATTTCTTGGCCAAGTGAAGATGAAGGCGATCATATGTTTTCTTCTTCCACAATGAAGCAATACAATCATCTCTTTCTAGGAGTACGTTCGGGATTGAAAGCTGGTTTAGGCAAGCCGCGGCGGAGAGGCCGGTCGGACCGGCTCCGACTATGATGGCTACAGTTTCTGGCATAATTTCCAAATCACTGGCGGCTCTCTTGCTGCACGTACACAAACAAGGAAATGAAGAGAGTATTGAATGGGCCAGCATGCATGGTTATAGCGACGCATGTGTGTGTATATATATATATATATATATATATAGGGATTTGCACGTATAAGAGGACTTACCAAGCATTTATTACAAAGTCATGATGAATGAATCCGTATTTACTATATCATGATTCAAATTTTTTTGCATGAATTCCAGTGACAATAACAGTCAAGGTGCAAAATAAAAAATCAAATCAGGATTCTCAATTAGGTTAACCAAAAGTTAGAACAAATCTATGTAAAAAGAAAAGTTCAAGAGATATCCCAAAAAACCTAGATCCTATCAAACTAGATCTAGAAGACAAATTAGATTTAAGAAAAGAAATTTTAAATCTAAATAAGAAATTTGACTACATAAGTCAAGAAATAGATAATTCTAGGATTTCAAACTTAGAAAAGAAAGTCGATCAAATCCTGAGAAATCAAGAAAAATATTTAACTAAAGCTCCAACTAACATAAGTTGTTAAAGCTTTACAAAACAGTAACAAAAATCTAAGTGACCAAGTAATTGGTGAACTTAGAACTAAAACCACAGAGATCGAAAGGATAGTTAAAACTTTAGAGGTTAACCCAGATTAGCTCAATCCTTCACAACGTGGTGATCAGAATGATACAAAATTCAAAAAATCTGCTTTAAAATTTTTTAATTTTTCAAAAATTCAAATTGTCGAAAAATAACAAGAAGAGGAAGTGACTCAGGTTTTAAATAAGCACTATCTCAACCTAAGAAAGGTTGCTAAAGCTCAACAAAATATCTCCCTAAGTGAGATAAAACTCCAGCTTAAATAAAAATTAGGAGAAGAATCCTTGAAACTTTGGGAAAAAGATAAGGCTAGATGTAAACTTGAGGATGCTAATCAACTTCAAAGGTTCTTTGAATGTGTTAATTATATGAGGGATTATCTTCCAAACAGAACTCAATATACTTCAAGTCTAACCAAAAAGCTTAGAAAAAGAGAAAAATAGGTGTTCAGTCAAAGTGACATTCAACGAATCAAGGAGAAAAAAGATTTAGCCAATAAATTAGAAAGGCTAAAACTCCCTAAAAAAAATGACTTTTTGATAGTCGAAATATATGGTTCAAATGCAAACTGAAGTGGAATTCTGAAAGCTAGTAGTCTAGATACTATTTTAGAAAAAGTTTGTAAGTATGCTTCAGGAACTTTTAAACCGAGTGAATTAAATTATACTCCAATGAAAAAAGAAATCCTTGATATAAAAAATAACCTTTTTAATTTTGAAATCTTTATAAGACCTCAAAGATTTCTACTTAGAACTAATCGTAAGTATATTACAATTTTCATGAAGTCTAATTTTGATAGGTGCATGAGTAAAAATAGATTACTACCATGGACACAATAATTTACTAACTTTCAATTTGATGTTAAACATATTGAATGATATATATATATATATATAAATCATTCAATATCTCATTTTTAACTTTAAGCCACGAATAAGTGTGGTAGAAATTAAAATAATAATAAATATTGAACAATCCAGTCGTATGTAATTTGTCCAACCTTATACAGTGTAAAGGTAAAATAGAGACTTAAGAGTCCACTAAGTAATTTTACTTGCTGATCATAATTCAAAATAAGATCCAGTACATAATTCAAATTCTAATTAACCCAAAAACCTATTTGAAAAAATAATAAAAATAAAATAAATAAATAAATATTTTAGTAATTAGTAGCCTTCAAAATCTGCAGCAAACAAGCACAATTTCTCAAAAAGGCAAACAAGAACAAAGCGCATACCTGAGAAGCGAACTCTATAACTGAGTAGTAGGAAGATGTGTCAACATTAACCAAACCCAATTAGAGGTGAATCTATAACAGAATCGACAGATACCTCGCCATGATCGGAGGAGATTGCAATACACTCCTTTTACTTGTTTCTCTCTCTAGCATAAACAAAATAATAAATGTATGATTGCGTGCTGAGTGAGGAGAGAGAGGTAAAAGTGATTGGACGAAAGGGCTGAAAAGAGATCGGAGAATACTAGGATGATTGCGTGCTGAGTGAGAAGAGAGAGTTGAAGATTAAACCGGTCGACGAGTAAATTGTCTTAAAATCTGTTTCGGTGTCCGTTACCACAATGAAATTACTACTTTCACCCTAGAGAATACGACAGTCCTAGAATTAAACTGTTTTAAAATCTGTTTCGGTGTCGGTAAGCACAATGAAATTACTACTCTCACCCTAGAGATTACGACAGTCCTAGGATAAAATTACTATAAGAGTGTTCAAGATATTTCTCTTTTGAGAGATAAGATATTGAGTGGCGGCCTGATGCATACGATTATGAGTGGTCAATAATTAATATATTATTTTATTAAATTTATCTGATTTACTTTTAAGAATTACGCTCATCTAATTGTTATATTAATTTTTATTCGCTTGACATATCAATCACATTATATACAAGGCATATTATGTATTGGAAAATCTCCATATTTAATAATTGGATTAAGATTATTTTTTAAGATATGTAAAAATTTAAATAAATAATTTAATACAATTTTTAATTTATTGATTAAAATAGAGAGTTCAAAGTGAATAACTCTTACAAGAATCAAAATGAAATGAAAATAGGGTTATTTAACTTGGGTCATTCTCCCATCAGGGCCATCACTCAATGGGAAATATAATGGATAAAGGTTATGTCCTAATTATATTGGGCGGAATTAAAAGATGGTTATATTTAGTTAAGTGGACCACTTTTTTTAATAGTAAATGAACTCAAAAAATTATATATCTATGTATAGGGTATAACTATATATTTCAAGTTCAAAATGAGCCTATTCAAAGGGATATTGTGATGGGTAAAAGTGAGATTTTTTATAATTTTAGGGGGCAACATTAAAATTTTATATGTATATAGTCAAAAATTGAAAAATTACTAATATATGTTGTGTTACTAAAAAAAAAAAAAACAATGGGACAATCCACGAAGTCTGTGTCTGTTCACTCATTTAATAAATGATTCTAAAATATTTATAATAGGTTCATTAGACATTTACAACTTAGATGTAATGAATAAACTCAAGTGTGGATCATTTACGAGAAAAATAAAATAAAAATCCTTCAACTATTGGGTTTGAAAAATCCAATTAGAAATCATTTTCCTAAACGAAAATGAGGTAGGCCTAAATTGGGAAAATGCCAAAAATGTGCCCAAGTCGGGGACAAATACTATGGGCTAAAACTCAGGATAAGGCCCAACATCAGTAATGTTGGTCATTCAGGCTGGATTCAAATGGGCTTTACCACAGGCCTCGATGCCCAATTATTTTATCAAACTGGTAGGTTTTGGAGCTTCCGTTTCGACGCCTCTTGTAATAAATGTTGGTTCTCATTTGAATGCGCTTTTTTTTTTCTTCTCGAATACTCATTTGAATGCTTGGCCATTGGAAAAAGTTCACGGGGGAAGGGTAGTGACAAGAAATGAGGAAAAGGGAACATACACCTAATCCCACATGCGTACCAGAACTAAAAATCAAAAACCAATCTTGTCCCTTAGCAAAACATGCCAAGCTGTATATTTTAATAATCTTCTCCCCACCTATCATTCTGTCCCCACCATTATCAACTTTACCACTCCCTTTTAGCCTTCAAATTTCAATCATAACTCTCATATATTTCCAATTCTCTCTCTCTCTCTCTCTCTCTCTCTCTCTCTCTGTGTCCAAGGTCTTTTATTACAGTTCCTCCTAGTAAAGAGCTCCTCTGATTGCATTATCATTTAATGGCTTCCAAATGCTGGTCAGTCTTGGCATTGGTTGTACTACTTTTCATGACCTTCTTCTCATCATCTTCAATAGCCTTACCAACCTCTTTTATAGCAGCTTCACCTGCATTGCTGCCAAATCCTCCTCTGTCCTCTCCTGCTTTATCTCCAGACATTACTCCACAATTTCCTTCACCAGCCGCTCCGGGCCTCTCACCAACTCAATCCTCTGTCCCCACCATTCCTTCCAACCCCAGTCCTCCAAATCCCGACTTCATGCTTGCCCCGGGACCCGGTATGGCCTTTTCCCCATCAGGCTCTTTGCCAACTTCCTCCTCGGTTGCTCTAATTTCATTTGGCTCGCTATTTTCAGTGTTGGTTTTCGGATTGTTGCCATTTTGGTTAATGTAGCAGCTTTTTGGTATGTCAAAGTTCTTGCAGCTTCAAGGTATTGCTTGCTGGTCGGCAGCTCCAATTATTGTTGTGGTTCCACTTTTTTTTTTCTTTTCTTTTCCACGTTTGTAGATTTTTATTCTCTTCCAAGTATATAAAATGTGTGTGTGATTTTAGGTTAATGAGGTGTATCGCATTTTCCTGAATTCTGAGTGTATATGTCTTTAAAAAATAAATAAAGTTTGTTTTTTTCAACAGACCTTCTTATTATTAATTGTGCTTTAACAGTCTAAAGCTGTTATTTAATTTCGTAATTTGTCTGTTTTATAAGCAGATTGATATTATAAAAGGTATTATACTCTGCATCCTGCACTACACTTGACCAAATTCTGAACCATAACTGTAGTGTATGGTCATGGTTTTGCATATAATTTGTATAATTATCCATGGAAAATTACTGGTTAATCCATTCCTAGAAAAAAAATTGGTAATTAAACGCCTAAATTAAGTGAAAGAAAGAATGAAACATTTAGACCAACCTCAAATATACAATAAAATGACTAATAATATATTTGTATCATGATGAACCAAACCTAGCAAAGCAGAAAAATATGAATTGTAGCTCTGAACATGAAAATATAACTTAAACTACTAAGATATAAAAATCCTATATATACTAAAAAAAAAAAATTCAGGAAATTCCTACATATATAGAGTATAGACTGTTGTCAGCTCCTAATTTAATTGTGTTCAATCAATTGCTAGCTGGGATGTAACCCACATCTAGAGAGCAACACTAGCATGGGATTTTGGAGACTCATTAAACAACTTCCCCAAAATTACTGCCTTCAATTTGTCGAACTCAAGAGGGCTCCATTTCTTGGGGGAGTTTTTAGAAATATACTTCCTCAGCTTCACATTCTCCTCCTTGAGCATATCCACAGTTGAACTGAGCTGTCTTATGACTTCTCTTTTCTCTTCATCTTTCTGCATTAGTTGCTCCTCCTGAATCCTGTTCTCTTCTTTGAGTCTCTCGAGTTCTAGCCTCAGCTTCATTGCTTCATCGTTGCAAAGCCCACTAGACACTTCCTCCTCTTCCATTTCTTTATCGACTTGGACTTCTTCTTCTTGCTCAGGATCATCAACCTCGGATTCACCGGACTCCTCGGGATCATAGCTTGGGGGAGTTTTTAATTTGTTGAACTCAAGAGGGCTCCATTTCTTGGGGGAGTTTTTAGCAATATACTTCGTCAGCTTCACATTCTCCTCCTTGACCATATCCACAGTTGAACTGAGCTGTCTTATGACTTTTTTCTCTTCGTCTTTCTGCATTAGTTGCTCCTTCTGAATCCTGTTCTCTTCTTTGAGTCTCTCGAGTTCTAACCTCAGCTTCATTGCTTCATCGTTGCAAAGCCCACTAGACACTTCCTCCTCTTTCATTTCTTTATCGACTTGGACTTCTTCTTCTTGCTCAGGATCATAAACCTCGGATTCACCGGACTCCTCGGGATCATAGCTTGGGGGAGTTTTTAATTTGTTGAACTCAAGAGGGCTCCATTTCTTGGGGGAGTTTTTAGCAATATACTTCCTCAGCTTCACATTCTCCTCCTTGAGCATATCCACAGTTGAACTGAGCTGTCTTATGACTTTTTTCTCTTCGTCTTTCTGCATTAGTTGCTCCTTCTGAATCCTGTTCTCTTCTTTGAGTCTCTCGAGTTCTAACCTCAGCTTCATTGCTTCATCGTTGCAAAGCCCACTAGACACTTCCTCCTCTTCCATTTCTTTATCGACTTGGACTTCTTCTTCTTGCTCAGGATCATCAACCTCGGATTCACCGGATTCCTCGGGATCATAGCTTTCAGAGTAGCTGTCATAGGATTTCTCTGTGGAGATTATCAACTTCTCTGTTTGATACTTGAAGGACAATGGGGATGCCCAATGTTTTGTGGGGCGAGTTCCAATATCAGACTTGACTTGATCAAATCGCTCAGCTAATGAGCGATGAGCTCGATACAATTCCTCAACCATGCTAATAAGCTCTGGTCGCTTCTTGTAGTACATCTCCGCACGTTGGGCAAAGGAATCTGCATCTTCCTCTATTATTTGAAGCATCGAACTTGTCTTCTCATCTAGCCCTGCAGTAGTGTAAAGGAGGCACATATCAATATCAGAAAATTCAATCTTATAATAGGTCTAATGCACTCAGAATGAGATGGTTAGTTAAGAAGAAAGATTAACCAAGTCCCTGAAATTTCGTGTCCGTGAGAGAAATTGTGTTCGATATTGTTTAAGCACTCTGTTTCTTTGACCAGTAACAAATAAAATTGTATCATCGTAAGCATGAGCATCAACTACATAGCACTAATTTGAAATCTCAAAAACTAATCAATATGGGCCATGTCAAAAGTGCATTACAGATATGGGTCCATCCACTAAACGAAGTAGAACCAAAAGTGAAAAGAATCATTGGCCTTTTTGTATAAGTATTTATATCTTTTGCTTCACTAGGTACTTTTTATATTTAACCATATTAAACGGATCCAGTACATAATTAGGCTATCAGTGAGCACTTTCAGAAGTTGAAACCAGCATGTATAACTTCTAAAAGCCATGCCTAAAAGTATGTAAAAATTTGCATTCTACTGGACCTCAGGGTCCCATGCATGCATTATAACAAAAGTTACTTTTTATCACCTTTCAGAAGTCAGAACCAATAGCAAGAAGATATGATGAAAATCCTCTTGGTAGGGAGGTTGCTTAACCGCGAATACTTTCCCCAACCTCCTTTCTACTCCTAGTCTCTCAGTTCATGATGGCTGTGGAGCCCTCCGCCATGTATTCTCCTATTGCTCAAGGCCAAATTCAACTCAACCAATATCTTATCTATACAGAATATGTAACTCATGTCATGGAATCCAGAAACAGGGGCGGACCTTTCCCTCAACCCCGCAAGGTGTTTGATTCAAAGACATTACTGCCGACCTTAATAGCTGATCACTTCATTCAAAGACACGTCCAATCTTGACCCACAAGATGTTTGATTCAACAGAAAACAGAAACACATCAATTAATTATCCCGTTCCCAATCTCAGAGGGAGTTTGATTCAATGGAAACCAATTACATAATGGATCGTCCTCTCTGCAATCCCAAAAGAAGTTTGATTCAACATAAACCAATTATTACAAACACTCCTTACATCTTAGCTAGCATGCTAAGAACCCATCTAGCTTCTGCAATAGCCTTTACTCTAATTCTGAATTTGAGAGAGAGAGAGTACCTTGGAGAGTTTTCCCAAATTTAATAGGGGCCTTATTCCTAAAGCTGATTTGATTTTAGACTAAACTTATTTCATACGAGCTAGGCTTTTCAATATTAAAAACATGACTTATGGTGTATATAAAGTTCATCACAAACTTAATGAGCCGTGTCCAATGTTGGTCAGGCTAGGTTCTTGTTAGACGAGTCCAAAAGATAAGCTTGGTTTATTTACTTAATAAATATAAACCAAGTTTTTTAACGAATTCAAACTGTTAATGTGCAGTGCTTATAACAATGCAGATGATACATATAAGTCCACTGCAGAAACCAGGATTTAAACTCGGCAAAGACTCTAAACCCAATTAGGCGAGACCAATAAACTATTGAAGTGACCCCTCCAACACCGATTGATTGCACCAAATCCAGTATGAAACACATGGATCACAACAAACCAAATCCTAAAATCTGTAACTTCTCTCCTCCTTCCTACAATCCTGATAATTAATCTTCAATCAAGTGAATTTGGGGATCCTGATCTAAAAATTGGATCTTTTTCCAGTGTCAGACCATTATATCTATAGCTCAATCTAAATAAAGTTGTTCAATGATGTTGTGATATCATTTAAACCCAATTTGTCTAGGGTTTTTATAATTAGTTGAAGGGATTGATCTATCAAAATGGGTCAATATGTGGTGGGTCAATATATTATATCTTGGTTATCGAACTAATTTTTTAAGTTTTTTACACTTTTGGTTGCTATAACCTCCTGTAAGTATCCTGATTTTTTCTATACTACTTCCTTTTGGTGTCAATATGGTAACAACTGAACTCCCTAATGCTCATGTTTTTTTGGAGGTGCCCTCTGGATACAACTTTAACATATTCCAAGTACCTTATCAATAATGTATGGTCAAGGACTCAAATTTTACCGTCCCTTAAATAATAATTCTTTACCAAAAAAAAAAACCGAAGTTGTAACAGCCAGTCTTTCCAAGTGTGATTACTTGCAAGTCAAACACCATATACAGAAACAGGTAAAATAATCTAAAAAAAAATTTCAAAACTCTGAGTCACTAAATATCACAATATCTAACGGTCATAAAACAGGTAAAAGGGTTTATAATTTTTCCATTTCTAGTTGTTTGATTATCAAGATCACACATTACAAGATTCAATTTGTAACTATGATATTATTAGAAGAATTCCTAAGAAGAAAAAAATAAAAAATAAAAATAAAAATAAAAAATGGGTACCTTCAAGGGTAGATTGAAGCCACTGGGAACGTTTAGGGTGGTTGTTGTGACTATCAAACCACCAATATCTCGATGGCGTCTTCTTTGCTTCCCCCATTTTCTTTCTGTACCTTCACAAAACCACAACCCAGTAAAGAAAATAAATAAATATATATATATATATATATATATATATATATATAATGTATCAAAATCTAGAAAATAACGCCATTAGATCAATGGTGAGCATTTGAATCAAGATCAAATCCCATAACTTCATGGGGTGGTTTAGTCATTTCAGCCTCCAAAGACAAATTCAAATCTAAAAGGGATAAAAAGAAAAAGCCAAAACTCCAAAGGACCATAGTATTACTCTACTAGGAATTGGATTAAAGTCCGACCAAAATACCCCTCTACAAGAGTAATAATTACATCTGAAGTTCTGAACCCTTTCAAGCACCGACCACGGCACTTCTGTCGCCGTAGATGTCACGGCGGAGTATACAGAGTGAGAAAGAGATATAGAGAGAGAGGGAGTGTTACCTGAGAGATATCTCTTCGTTTCACCGGAGACCACAGAAAAGAGAAGAAACGCCGACGCCGAGCGATCTCTCTCTCTCTTTCTCTCTATGCACCGCTACGCGTAAACCAGAAAAGACAGTTCGTAGTTTAAATCACCTCGATTTTCGAATTTGTCTTATTGTCAATCTGTTCTTGTCCAATGAATATTTGCCACGTTTTCCGAAGACCCACAAGTTTAAATCCACGAGGCGTATTGCTTTATAACACTGACACATATGGGATTTTGAAAATCTCTCAACTTACAATATTACCCCAGGTTGATGTTACGTTCTTTAGTTAAATTCGGACCCAGTATCAGTGATAAGACGGTCATTTCAAATTGTTGTTTGTGGGCACACTTGAACCATACGAGGGAGCGTCCATCGTGTCGTCACAAATAGAAAGCATGTAACGGTCGAAAAATCCAACAAAAAAGACGTCTATCGAACGGAATATAATGACTTTTACTTATAAAACTATACTATAAATTACTTACCCAAAAAATTGTATCATAAATTCATCTGTACAGATATCTATCTGTCTATACTTATTATTAGCGGAGCACGTTGAATAAAATTTCCATCTAATTTTAATTTTTGGCAAGATATTCTCCTGAAATCTTTTTAACATAAACTTTCCCTGAGTATTAATTTTTTGTAAAGTGGATTCAAATGTCCTTTAATATAAATTAAAAATATATTTTTATTTTATATTTTCTTCCTCTTAAATTTTTAAGAAATAGAACTTTAAATTTTTTTAAAAAAATTCACACCATTAAAGTGAAGTTATAATTTGAAAATGACCACTTAATGTAATTTAAGAAAATTTAGGTTGTCTTAAAACAATTTTCATTTTAGGTTTTTTTTTTTCTTTTTAATTTTTTTGTTCAATTAAGAAAATTTTAAGTTTTGTTCCAAGGTATTTTTCTTTTTCTTACCAACGCACTATTAAAAAAGTTTCAAAAATTTTTTTAACACTGTTATGTTGAATGAGTTATTTGTATTAATTTTAGTTTTATATTAAGAGAAACAATTTTTTAAAATTTATATTAAGAGGTATTTTTGCCATCATAACATCACTTTGCAACAAATAAATAGTTAAGGAGATTTATATTAACTTTTTTTTCTTGGATGACTTTCTTGTCATAAATTAAAAATAGAGGAGAATTTTATGCAATTTACCCTTAAATTGAAAATAGAGTTTTCAATCATATTTTAGTTTTTATAACATTTTTTAATATATTTAAATTCACAAAAGAATAACTATAATAATAAGTCACGCCACTCTCTTTCCATTCCAACAACTCCCTCCACTTTACCACTACTAATAAAAGTACCATGTAGTTTTCAATCATATTTCATAATAATATCTTAATTTAACAAAAAAATTAAGTGGAGAATCAACAGTTAGTGATATTTCAACGAATTATTGAAAATCTAAAACCATAAAAAATAAATCTCTTTAATAAAAATTATTGTTTGGTATTAAGGAATGGAATGAAATGAAATATTAATTTCAACGATTCCTTTATTTGGTAAGCAATTTAAAGTGGGCCAGTTTCATAGTGGTTCGGTCCGGTCACGGTTTAAAAATAATGGAATTGTGAATTTTTTATTTGATCCCGGATTGGGGTCCCACAGGACCGAATCGGCGCAGACCGAACTATTATAATTGGTATACAAATACATACCATAATATATATATATATATATATATATATATATATATATATATATATTACTCTTAACTTTGGAAGGAATTTCGGCACAACAATCAAACGGAAGCCAACATTCATCATATATATATATATATATACTACTCTTAACTTTGGAAGAGATTTCGGCACAACAATCAAACGGGAGCCAACATTCACCATTATCTGATATTTTTTTTAATTTGTTTTTGCTTTTCCTAATGTTTTGATTTATGGGGGTGTGCTAGCATTCCTCCACTATCTCATTATTTTTCTTTGCTCACGCCGCCTCATTCACTTCTTAGTTTTGATCGCCGCGAGATCCAGTTGTTGATCAATCTCTCTCAAGCAACCTTCGAAGTTCAATCATCGCTGTCGATCTTTTATCGCTGCCATCAATAATATCTTCTTTCTCACACTCTCTCCCATTCTCTCACACTTCCAATTCACATATCTCTAAATCTTACGACGTGTTTGCACCTCAAGCACAACCAACAACGACAACGAATCAAGTTTCTTAGTTTTCAACCAAAGATTTGTCATCCTTTTCAGTTTCAGCAAGATTCAACCCTATTTTAATTTATAGGGTTTAGCTTTGGGGTTTATTTCACCCATTTTTCCCCTTCTCTTTTTATCTCTCTATTTTAGTCTTGGATTCAGGAATGTGAGATTTATTGATATTTTCGTTGTATATATAATTCAAGGGGGAAATAAATAAGGAAATAAAAGTCAACTAGAACCATGGAACCGAAATGAACCAAATCATTTTTTCATGGTTTGGCTGATTTGGTTCCATGGCTCAAATGGTTTGGTTCGATTTCAAATTTTCTGAAACCGTAGGGAGCAGTTTGGTTCTAAAAATCCTCAAAATCGAACCAAACTGGATCGTGTGCACCACTAATGAAATTTCATTCCACAACTAAACCTATGGAATGGCTATCCATTCCCAAGTAAATTTTTTTAAAAAATTAACTTCCCAAAAAACTCTCATATTTCAAGTCCAAAAATCACAACTACCTTCCACCATAACCACCTCACCTTTTACCACCACAACTACCGCCACCGACTTTCACCACCACCGCTGCTATCGCCACCGACTTTCACCACCACCCACTTCTTTCCACCAGCACTGCCACCGCTGTCATCGACTTTCACTACCACCCATTGCTTTCCTCCACCGTACCACATTCCTTTGCCGCAACCACTGCCGCCGCCTTTCACCACTGCTACTGCCACCACCTTTGGCCACCACCGCCTTTAACCATTGCTATCACCTTCCACCACCACAACCACCTTCCACCACCACCGCCGCCATCGCCTTTCACAACCGCCTTCCACCAACACCACCCCACTACCACCTTCTAATATCATTACCGCTTTCCACCTTAACCATCCACCACCGCCACTGTCACAATCATAGAAGAATGTAATTTTTTTAATTTAATTTATTTGGTACTAAGAGGATATTTTGGAAAATTTAATTTGAAATTTATTCCATTTTAAATTTTAAATTGGTTCAATCAAATACTAAAATGATTATTATCATTCTATTACTACACATTTCATATTTAGAAATAATAGAAAGAGAAAATTTCTCATTTCATTCTTACTTGTATTCCATTACATTCCTCCATACCAAATGTAACATATATGTACTTAAATATATAGTATATATATAATATAGAAACCTTAAAAAAATACCTAGATTTTGGTTAAGGGTGCAGAGAGATAAAACCTGGTTAAAAAAAAAAAAACCTGCTTAAAAATAGGTTAAATCCACTATTATTATCTTTGGAGTAATATTTTAAATTTAGAACATGTGTCATTATTTACTTGGTCCATATCACCTATAAAAAAAGTGAGGCAAATGAACCGAGCGGAACTTTGGCTTGCTGAGGCTCGACTCGTCAACTTCAAAGAAGTGCTCAGGTTCGGACGAGCTTGTTTTGGTCAAGATCAAGCTCGGCTCGGTAAAAATTTGACATGCTCAGGCTCAACTCGGCTTGGCTCAAGATCTGTTAGTACCCAGCAACTATCGATTCCAAGAAATCACCCTCAAATTCGATCTACATCCCCACAACAAAGAAATTCATATGATCTTCATACGCACAACAAAGAAGCTCATCCGATCTCCATCTCTAATAAGAAGAAAAAAAAAATGAAAAATATATATAACATATTTTCAAGATAAAATCAAGCCATGATTTATCAACTCCATACGATCTGTTGGAGAGAGAGCGCCTCTGTGTAGCATTAGGAAAGCTGCCGGCTAAATCATGGGGCTGAAGAGGAGGACCTGCCGCTGTAGACACCTCTAGTTCTTGGATCTAGAACGAATGGCTGAGATGTGTTAAATTCTAGTGGTCGGCTGATATTAATCATATATGGATGATGGGCTACTGAATTATAATTTTTGGGCCTTATTAATGAATTGATATAAGTTGGGCCAAACTAATATTCATATGGGCTTAAACCTTTTAAATGTATAATAATAAATATAGATGGGCCTTTTAAGTTAACGAACTTGTCCACTAACCTAACGAGCTTAATACTAAATGAGCCTGAAAATTGAGCTAGAGTTTGACTCGTTTACTTAATGAACGAATCCGAGCTAAACTTTTAACGAGCCAAGTCCGAGCGGTTCATTTGAAGCCCTGGAAGCAAGAACTCTCCATATTTTAAATAAATAATATGTAGAATTGCATTTCAAGATCGCCGAGCCCAGTAATATGGGCTTGTAAAGAAGAGTGGGCATTAAAGTGGTTGCTTTGGGCAGAATTTTGCCCATAACAATATGGATTATGGGCTACTAGACTTGAATACAATCTCAACGACGCCCAACCATTAGCCACTCATCTACTGGAAAGGTTTGATTTTTGGATGATGAGGTGTTCTTTCCAACTTTTAATTACTTTGTTTAGTAATTAATTAGGGAATTATTATTTGAAATACTATACTGGCTTCGATTTCTTGATTTTAAAAAAGAAAAGAAAAGAAAAATGGTGCTCGGAAAGAAGCTCAAGTTTTTCATCCTTTTTCCATAGAGATGAGATATCTCATCTTTTTTCTTCTACCTGCCATTCCTTTAAATATAATATAAATTCAAAAAAAAATTAGAACATGCCACCAATGCATTGAATAAATAAATAAATGTAAATCAGGAATATCTTTATAGAAAAAATAAAAAGCTTCACTTGGAGCTTCAATCATTAAGAAAAGTATTCACAGTTTCACTCCAGTCTTCAATCCAAATTGGCACATCCGACCAGCTAGAGTTTGCGATATCAAACCTCGTATCCTTCTTGAGTTCACCATCACCGTCGAAATTATATAAAACACAGTCTGATACGGAAACAAAAATCTTCTTCTCCTTTGAAGACATAGCACACGACCCGTACGGCCCCAAGAACAAATTGACATCATCCAAATCTCTAAGCTCCATCCACTCAGTCACCCCATCATCAACCTTCAGTTTATAAACTTTGTCAAGAACCCCGTGAGCCCCTAACTTTCCAGCGTAAATGTCTCCATTGAATTCAGCCAAGTATGGGTTACAAACCCTCCCAAAACCCTTGTCTTTCGCGAAAGCAAGACGGGTCCAACTGCTCTCTTGAGCATCAAATATACTGATTTTTCCAAACGAGTCCACGCAGTAGACAACTCCATTGCAGCAAATTGCTCCGACCAGAGTGCTGTCACATTCGCCCGAACTAGGTTTGAAGGCATGACGAATCCACTTCTTATTTTCTTGACTGACACAAAAAGTGTCGACATAGAGTTTGCCATTGAAAGTGGGCATGACAAAGGCATAGATGGTGCAATTTGGATCAGTTGGAGGGGCAGAGAAGGTGACAGCATTGAAGATAGAGTTGCGATAAGGGAGTTCAATCTTTTGACGAGAGAGGGGATTGAAAAAGAAGAGAGAGGAGTTCTCACGAGATAACATAAGTAGCCATCCGAACTTGGACGAAAGACATTGTGCTTGGAGGTGTTCGAAAACTTGATGGTGAAAAATCTGCACTGGGTATGTTGATCTTCTCATGGGGTCGAATAAGCCAAACCAAGTTTGGCCTACCACTTCTCCTAGAAAAAACATCAATGGCCTATCTCTATCTGTATCTATCAACGGTGCTGACGAACGTCTACTTTTGAACCTAGACATTGTTGAGAGATAGGAGCAAGAGTGAAATTTTATTCTTAGACACGACGCACCCACATACATACATATATAAAGAATGCGCGGTTTAAATTTAGTTCGAGCATAAGTTAGATTTCCTAACAATCTTGGTTTCTTCCTTTTACTTGGAAATTTACTTGATATGATACAATTGGACTAGGTTAATCAATTTAAGATATAATTGGACTGGGTTATGTATTTAAGATGAGTTTTAACCCAAATCAAACTAATAAAGCAAATCTTGTTTTTACTTCTTTTTTTTATTTTATTTTCAAAAAATAAAAAAATAAAGATATGCTACTACAACTTTGAGGAATGCGTCTCTCTCTTTGCAAGGTATTTAAATCCTATCCAAAGAGTTTCGGCATAAAATTCAAGTAACCCAAAAAATATATATTATGTAATTCAAATTTAAGGATTTGAATTTATAAACTATTTAATTTACCTACATACCTTTATGAAATAATATTATTATATTTAAAATATAACTAAAGCATGCATCATATATTTTAACTTGGTTCATCTGAGACAATTATATTTGCAATCACTACTAATATGATCTCCTGGTGCACACCTGACAATTTGAATAGCCATTATTCCGCAGTGAGAGAAGTACTACTCTGGACAGTTGTTCACACACAGCATGAAGCCTACCATCCATCCATAGCATTTTATTTACCAATAACAGGGGCAAACGCGCGCAAGAAACCTCTGGATGTTCTTTGAAAATGGCTCAAGTGTTCCCAGCTTGCTTCTCAATCTGTTTTAAAACTAATATATACGTACAGAGAAAGCTACATGAAAGACCAGTGTTATGATTCGCTACCTTCACATGATGCACCATCTGCATCGGATTAAGAAGCAAACCTCTAGATAGAATTAGGGATGGCAAAATAGGTCATAACCCACCAACCCTTCCATATCTCTCCTTTTTAAAATAAATGGATTAAGATGGATAACCCATATTCAATCTATTTTTATAAAGAGTTAAGATGGGTTAAATGTGGGTCACTCATTTTGACTCATATTTCACTCATTATATAAAAGACCCAATTTTATCACCTCTGTTCTCAAATTTATCTCTTCCTTTTTAAAATTCTCTCACACAATCCCAAATTCTCTCTCTCTATATCCTTCTAAAATTCTCTCTAAAATTCTCTTTGCATCATAGACTCCTCGTGTATGTAATCCTAAGCTCGAAAGAAGCATATGTTTACATCAGTATTTCATAGTAGGACGGCTTGATTTATTCATTTAATTATACGTTAAATGCTCTCACACCCCATGAGGTTTCAGTTTATTACTTTCATATTAAACCAGTCAATCTTGCTCTCACACCCCCTTCTAAAGTATGAAAAAAGTGAGTTTACTATTATACCCTTGACTTTATTTAACATATATTTAAGCAAGCTTTGAAATGACATTATTACCACCCTCTACTGTTCTGAAACTTCACCGTTCCTTCAATTTTCCCAGCACTCTCTCTCTCTCTAGAATTCCACTCGTTTTCACTCTCTAAAATGGCTCCCAAAGAAAGGATGGTAACGAGCAACCATCAGAGACAGCTTCAAAGCCAAAACATCAATTGCCAATTCTTGTAATTTCTTTTCTTGCGCATGTATTCAGTCTCGACTGTCTGATTCAAAGGATTACCCCGCAACAGGAGCCTCCTCTCACCTTGACCTTGGACTTCAATCGGAGGTATAGTTCTTGAGTTGTCCAACATCCTCGGGCTGCAAATGAGCCGAGCCATTCGCGAACTGCTCGGGCTCGGCTCGTTAATTACTTAGTTCGAGCTCGGCTCGTGAATAAGTGAACCGAGCTCGAACCGAATTATGAGGCTCGATTTATAAACGAGGCGAGCTTGAACATTAGTCGACTCGACTTGTTTGTTAATGAACTGTTCACGAACTAGGCTCGATAATGAGTTCACGAACATACTCGATTATAATATATATATATATACACACACACACACACATACCCAATTATAATATATACAAAAGTCGGGGTCAGATTGTAATTATATATAGAATTTGTGGCTATTATGCAAATAGGTATTTCTTATCTTTGTATGTAAACCTTTTTAGGTTTAGGGTTGATGGAATAAGTCACACCCCTCTCGCCTCCATCTGTTCTCTCTCATGTAATTTTTTTTTTTTTTTTTTTTTTTTGAAGGTAACACAACAACAACAACAAACACATACCCACCATTGGGACACCAACAATACCCATCTTGTCTCTCATATAAACTTGCACATGTATATATATATATATAAACAAACTGATTTTTAGTATAAATTTTGGGATTTATTACTGCAAATCTATTTCTCTCTCAAGCTTTTTTATATTTTTTGTTGTTCTAATAGATCTTAGATGCGTTTTTTTTTTTTTTAATTTTTTGTTCCAGATCTATTAGAACAACAGATCTTAGATGCGAAGTAACAAAAACAGATCTTAGATGCGATTTTGCTTGGCTCGATGCGAAGTACACAGAATTTAGGGCAACAGATTTTTTGTTCCAGATCTTAGAACAACAGATTTATTGAACCAAAAAATAGATCTTAGAAAAACAGATTTTTTGTTCTACATTTGTTAGGACAACAGATTTTAGATGCGAAGTACCCAAAATAAATAAATAAATAAAAGAGCAAACGAGCTCTCGGCTCGAAGCTCGTCAAATAGAGCTAAGCTGAGCCGAGTTCGAACTAAATTTTTTAGAATCAACTCGAACTTGAGCCGAGCTCGAGCACACAATTACTCGGCTCAGCTCATTGACTGCCCTAATCCACTGTAACAAACCCCAACTCAGCACCATCATAAGGTGAATTTTATTTTATTTTATTTTATTATTTTTTTTCATGAATTCTTTGTCACATTTCATAAAAATTTCTATTGGTCGATTGTATTTTTACTTGTGGTTTAATTTTCATTTGGTTGCAGAAAAATGTAGGAAAATTTATGAAAGAAAAATCTTGAATATCAATTGCTAATGCATCATACTGAATTGCAAAATTTCATTTTATTTTGTCATCCATCCTTCACTTTCCTCAGCGAAGAGTTGGTGAGTAGGTCTAGTCTTGAAATTTTGATTCTTTGGAACTGAGATTTCATGATGTTTTTTAAATTTCATAAGATTGGGTCTAGAGAATTTGAATTCAAAGAGATAAAAGATTCATTGTTCAGATTTGTTAAAGCTAGTCTGAGGTAATATACATATATATATATATAGAAGCGCATCAACCCATCTCATACCGAGCAGGGCAGGTATAATTTTTTTCTGATTTGATTCTCCATCTTTACATGTCCCACAATACCCATTTCGGGGTGAGTGAAAGGGGTTTCAAGACGGCGGCGGAGAGGAAGCTGCCAAAGGAGGCGACGTCCTAGGAGAAGAAGAAGTGGTTCAAGGTCGAGAAGGAACTGCGGCACTGCACCGGCGAGACAGAATCAGCCGGCAAGGAGGAACTGAATTGGCCATGAGCTTGTTGCGGTGCTCGGAACGGTGAGGTCGGCTAACTTGCGAAGTCTCCCCCGGCTGACTTGCTACGGCTCAGACGGAGCCGGTTAAATTGGTATATCCGGCCAGTGCACAAACGGGTCTCTAGAGCCACTGTATTGCTTCCAATAGTGCAGAAGAAGAGGGGGAAACGAGTTGAGAGTAAAAAAATCCAAGAAGAAAATGTACTTGAAATAAAAGAGGGTAATTTAAGTATTTTATTTTATCATTTTTTAAAAAGGGGGTGTGAAAGCAAATTAAACCAAACCTTGTGGGGGTGTATTAGCAAAATTTGTTGAGATTTAATATGAGAACAATAAATTAAAACTTCAAGGGGTGTGAGAGCATTTAGCCCTTTAATTATTTATTCTAAAAATGCTCTCACACTATATATCTTACCTAAATGCATGTCTAGTCACAAAATAAAATAATATAAATTTAAAAAAATTTCAAAATAAATTAAAAAATTTACAATTATCCTTACATATTTTTACGAACTTTTATCCATCTAAAATCTACAATAATGAGATTATCCAAAATAATACTTTAACATTTTTTTTTTCCCTAAAATGGGTTGACAGGTCATGAGAAGTTGACCCTACTCGTTTTCACTCAAACCATATTTACCTCATTACAAGCAAGTTGAATATGGGTCGACCCTCCCATATTTGACATTGCCCAAACCTGACCCTAGAACCCAATCAATAATGTATAAAAAGTAGTAACACATCGAGAAGGAAACTGATCAATTGCTTGCCATTCAAAAAGAAAACTAATCAATTGCTCACTAAGGAACGACACTGAAAACGAGTTACATTCTTCAAATATTGAATTCACCAAAACCAAAATATAGCTCGTAAGCAAGGTTTACTGGGTGTCACCCTGAAAGAAAAGGTTCACCAGGGTCCATGTCATTCATTATATATTCTTCGACACATTACTACTGTAGATGGTGAAGATGTTATTGACAGTGGCTTATTTACACACATGCGAACAAAAGAAATGTAAATTCCAATATTCTCCAAAAAAGAAAATTAATAGGAAAAAATCAAAGATTAAAATCATCATTCACTCCAAGAAAGACATGAAACAGTTCAGAAAAGCAACTTCACATTGAAAACTTGGGACATTAAAAAAAAAAATTTCAAATAACTTTTAAGTCAAAAGCAGTAAGAAAATAGTGGGAAAAATTAGAAAAAAGAATATCAGATACTGAAGTCAAAAGCAGTAAGGAAAATAAGAACTGTGTCATTCTAGGATATTTGAAAAC